AAGAAAAAGGATTTGTTCATTCACCCCTTGGCACTGAAATTGCTGCTGAAAACAATGTGTGAGACCCAAGCCTAGCCCTGTATCTCAATTGTAGGTGCAGCTGGGTAATCCACCTGTGTTTTCTGAAATGTGGGATGTATGTGGATAGGATGGAAACGCCAGGGACTTCTGAAGAGCTTCCCAGCCAGGGACAAGGATGGCAGTGGGAATCTGTGCTGAAATCTACTCTTACCTTGGGACCAGGCTGCTCATGTCTGCCATGCTCCTTCCTGGACAAAGCCAGGCTCTCCATCCCATTTACCTTGGAGCTGAGCTTGAGGGGAGGGGGCAGATGTGCCCCGGAAGCTTGTACTGGTCACTGACCCTTTTCTGGTGTATCTTCCTGTGTATCCTGTGTTGTACTGGTCACTGACCCTTTTCTGGTGTATCTTCCTGTGTGTCCTGTGTTGATACAGCTACCTCATTTCTCAACCACGTCCTATGTTTTCCTGGTGATCTGTGTCCCACCTCCAACCACTTCCTCAAAAAGTTGACTGATACACCCTTAGACACCTTGGTTGTGGGCTGACTGTCGTGTCCCGTCCCCCCCCAGTAGGGTTTCTCTGTGGCTTTGGAGCCTGTCCTGGAACTAGCTCTTGTAGATCAGGCTGGTAACGAACTCACAGAGATCTGCCTGCCTCTGCCTCCCAAGTGCTAGAACTAAAGGCGTGCGCCACCACCACCTGGCTAAGCCACAAGCCCGGCATAGGCTGAGTTTTCTTCAAGCTGCTGAGGTCACCTTTACCCTCCTCAACTTTTTTTTTATTTTTGAAGACAGGGGAGACAGGCTTTCTATGTACCTTTGGAGCCTGTCCTGGGACTTGCTCTGTAGACCAGGCTGGCCTTGAACTCACAGAAATTCTTCTGCCTCTGCCTCACAAGTGCTGGATTAAAGGCGTGTGCCAGCAGCACCCAGCTCCAGTGTTCAATTCTTGGGCACTCAGCACCCACAGGTAAATATATGCAGGCAGAACACCCATCACCTGCACACACAGATCTAAAATAGAATGAAAACGGTGAATACACAGCCCCGTGTTAGAGCACTTGCCCGGCTTCGCTACCTTCTCCTTAGCTGTGGTAATATGCCTGACAGATGCAACGGAAGAGTTATTTTGGTTTGGTTTGAGGGTACAGTCTACTGTGGTAAAGCTATGGAGGAGACAGCTGGTCACACTTGTGTCATAAAATAGAGATGAACCAGGCTTCAGTTGCTTTCTTTCTCTGTTTTTTAAGACAAGGTTTATCTGTGTAGCCATGGCTGTCCTGAAACACATTATGTAGAAAGAGGCTGGCCTCGAACTCAGAGATCCAGAATGCTGGATTAAAAGCATGTGCCACTAACGCCTGGCTTACTTTCTCTTTTTTAATGAACAGCATCTGTCAGGCAGCAGTGTGTGAAGCGGCAGCCAGGGTCTGAAAACTCTTGAGAGCTGGCCACCGATGGAATCACTCCCTCTGTAGGGTCCTCCCTGTGTCCTCTTGGCTGTCTCAAGGGTGCCTGGAATTTATCTGGGCTTCAAACCCTAAGGTAAAACACCTGTAGGTAAAACACCTTTAGCATTCAGCCTCTCATTTGTGCTGTCCTACCTCCTGTCAGGCAGAGCTGGTATAGTACAGGGTGGGGTACAACGCTCTCAACCCTTCCATCAAGAAGGTGGGCAGAGAGAGAGCTGCAGGGTCTTGTGTGGTGCCTGTGTGCATGGGAGACATATTTGCACTTATACCATGAAACAAGAGACCTGGGTTAGGTCCTTGGGCAGAACCTAATTGAACTGGGTTGCAACCAAGCCCTGCCATAAGGTAACCATGGGCCAGAACTCCACGTGGCCAGACGCCTTCTTACCTGGTCCCGGCCCCTGGAGAAGGCAGGCAGTCCAGCCAGCCCAGTGCAGGGAGTGTGACAAAGCCTGCTCAGAGACAATTAGAGTGCAGCGTTGCTGAGTGTAGTGGCATACACCTCTAACCCCAGCACAGGGAGGTAGATACTGGCTGATCTGGGCTTGAGGGTAACCTGATTTGCATAGTGATTCCAGGTCAGCCAGAACTACATAGTAAGACCCTGTGTGTTGTAACATAATTTTTTTGTACACAGTGAAGATGTGTCACATTGGTTGGTTTAATACAGAGCTGAATGGCCAATAGTTAGCATGATCTCCTGGCACAGAGAATGCTGGGAAGAAGGCTGGAGTTGTAAGGAGACACAGAGGAAGTATGACATGTAGATGAGGTAGCAAGCCATGAGCCATGTGGCAGCACATAAATTAATAGAAATTGGTTAATTTAAGTTATAATAGCTAGGGCTGGAGAGATGGCTCAGAGGTTAAGAGCACTGGCTGCTCTTCCAGAGGTCCTGAGTTCAATTCCCAGCAACCACATGGTGGCTCACAACCATCTGTAATGAGATCTGGTGGCCTCTTCTGGACTGTAGGCATACATGAACTGGTGTATACATAATAAATAAAAATCTTTTTAAAAAAGTTATAATAGCTAGTTAGAAATAAGTCTAAGGTATCAGCTGTGCTTTCATTTTTTTCTTTTTGAGATAGAGTTTCTCTGTGCAGATTTGGAATCTGTTTGTCCTGGAACTCACTCTGTAGACCAGGCTGGCCTTGAACTCAGAGATCCACCTGCTTCTGCTGGGATTAAAAGCATGCACCACCACCGACTATCTTGAGGTTTCATAATAAGAAATCTCTTTTTTGGGAGCTGGCTGGTGGGACAGAGAAAGAAGATACAACCCTGTCTCAAAACAGGTATTTTTAGCTGGGCATTGGTGGTGCACATCTTTAATCCCAGCACTCGAGAGGCAGAGGCAGGCGGATCTCTGTGAGTTCGAGGCCAGCCTGGTCTACAGAGCGAGTTCCAGGACAGCCTCCAAAACAATACAGAGAAACCTTGTCTCGAAAAACAAAAACAAACAAACAAACAAACAAACAAAAAAGGTATCTGTAGAATACCCAGGCAGTGTAGAGGATGGGCATGAGTTAGGGTGGGCACAGATGCCCTCTAGGAAGTCTGAATCCTGGAGTCTCTGGTTCTCCCAGGCTACCCGGCTCTAACAGCTAACAATCAACCTGACTGGAAACCTCTGAGAATGCTTGTGAACAAGGCAGTTTCTAGATTTGCCTAAGTGAGGAGGCTGGGCAGCCCCATCCTTTGGACTGGGGTCCCAGAGTGGGTAAAAGGAGAAAGCAAGCTGAGGACCAGCGTGTCTGATTCCTGACTGCGTGCGATGGTCCACTGCTCGAGCTTCTGCCACTGAGCTCCCTCCGTGGACCCTGAAAGTGTGAGGCAGACAAACCATTCCTTCCTTAAACTGCTTGGTCTGGTATTTTGTCCCAGCAACAAGACAAGTAACCAATAAAATGGTCAAAGATAACTAGAGCTACCCATCTGCCCACTATAGGGAGAGCACCCTGTCCCTAGCATCATCACAGAAAGATTGACTAATGAAAGGTCAGAGTGTGTGATGTAGGAACTGCTTGTCATCACTAGACCTAAGAATGAAGGGGTCAAGCGCCAGGGCATGTAGTGTCCTCAGACGCTGGAAGTTAACCAACAGTGCCCCAGAGCCCCAGGAAGAAGCGCTCCCTGTCCACACCTCCATTTAGCTTGAGGCTGTGACTTCAAACCTGCACAATTATGAGATAACTGAATGGCTGGACTGGGCTACTATGGTAATGATGATGTCACAGGAAATTGACTCTGGTGGCAGGGAACTATTGTGGAATATTTATTTAAGATGTGTTACATTCAGTTATACTATGATGGAACATTTGTTTGATGCAAAGATGTGTTTCATTCTTTTTTTTTTTAAAGATTTATTTATTTTGTGTACAGGTTCTTCTTGCATGTATATATGCCTTCAGGCCAGAAGAGGGTACCAGATCTCACTACAGATGATTGTGAGCCACCATGTGGTTGCTGGGAATTGAACTCAGGACCTCTGGAAGAGCAGTCAGGCCGAGCAGTGGTGGTGCACACCTTTAGTCCCAGCAATTGGAAAGCAGAGGCAGGTGGATCTCTGTGAATTTGAGACCAGCCTGTTCTATAAGAGTAAGTTCCAAAACAGGTTCCAAAACTACACAGAGAAACCCTGTCTCAAAAAAACAAAAACAAAACAAAGCCAAGCTAAGGCCAGGCATTTATGAGTAAAAATTAGTCTCCCTGTATTTATTTGGGAGCTGGGTGGTGGGCCCCCAAAGAGGAAAAAAAACCAACAAAAAAGCATAAGAAACAGTGGGGTCTGGGTAGGAGGAAGGAGGACCAGCTACTCTGCCATGCTGGCCCAGGCCAGGTCCCCAGATGCAAAGGCCTAAGGTGCTAAGGAAATATTGCTAACCCTTCCAGCACATGGAGCAGGCTCTGAAGTACCCAGGATCTTTGAGGTCATCCTTGTCAATCAGCCTGCCTGAAAGATCAAGAAACAGCCCTAATGTCTGTCTGTCATGTTGGCACCACTAGTCACAGCAGCCTGGCAGAGAGCTACACATGACAGGCAATATGTTCCAGTTGCAAGATCAATGCCTCAGGGACATATGGCTCCCCTCCTCTTAAATCTAAAAATGTTCAGTGAGAAGCTGAACCTGCAGTTTCTGGTGTTTATCGCATAGGGCCAAAGATCACATCATTGCTGCCTACAACACCAGCCTGCTGTGGGGGCCACAGAAGGTCTAGTGCTGTCCCTGTCCTCCAGAGTGGGTGTTCCCACAGTTCCCATGAAGCCTAGTAATCAGAAGGACCTAGGAGGCCAAGGGATGGCAAAGGATCCATAGAGCTCCTCCTGGACCCACCTGAGCCCAGATCTTCCTAAACACCTCTTCCCAGACCCTGAAAAGTGGTCCCAGGAGCTACCAGATGAGACTTTACTGTGGTAAAGTCCTGAGACACTATATTCTAGGCACACAGGCCATGTGTAGTTAGGACACCCTGGCTATTCCATATTACAAACCATTCCAAAGTGTGGTAGGCAATGATTTTATTAATAAGTCAAATGACAGGAAAGATTGAGGACACTCGGGACATAATCCCAGAGGGTTAAGGCACAAGTAATGCCTAATGGAAATGCATAGTTTGTGTACCCACGCACACACACGGCCTGGCCCCTCACATAACACACCTGGAGATGGCCAAGGCTGTCACCAAGAGAGTGGGCTGTAGCTCTGGGAAGGCATATGCCTCCAAGAGGATTGAAAAGTGGCAGGTGACATCCCCTACAGACATCCCGACAGCGAAGGCAGCCTTTTCCTTCTCTCCACTGTCCAGAACTCACTGGGCAGGTAAGCTGCTTTCACTAGAGAAATGTGAGGCTTTGCATTCCTGTGGCGTTCCACTGTGACGACAAGGCTCATCTCTGTGTCTCTGGGACCCCGTGGGGATTCCTAGAACGTACTGAGAGCTGTGTATGCTCTCCTGGAAAGCACCCCTTCCTGGACCAGCTCCTCTCTAGAGCAGTCACTGCTGCCAGGGGGACAGAGCTGGGCCCCTTTACAGTATCCTTAGGAGAAAGGCTTGAGTTAGTGTGGGTGGCCTCAGGCTCAAGTGAGTAGCCAGGTCCTAGGCTTTAACCACTCAAAGCAGATGAGACAAGATGCAAATCTAACACCCTGAGACCCACATCACAGGAAAACAGGACTGGCAGGTATGTCCCAGAGCCATTCAAGCCCAGGGAGGTGTAAGGGCTTACCAGGAGGGCTTTTCCTGTGTGGGGTGTAGAGCCATCCCTAGGACAGCCACCATTCAGCACAGAGACCGGCAACACAGCCACAGCAAGGCAGCCCAACTGCTCAGTCTCTGCCTGCAGAGACTCCCTCCAGTCCCACACATCCTAGGAGAAAAGTGGCAGCCTGTCCTGGCAGTGTGGGTGGAATGTCAGCAGAAGAAACACAAGATAAGGTCACCAATGTCCCAGAGACCAAAGGCAAACACTGAACTTGCAGGTCCTGAGCTCTGACTTCCGTCACCAGCCACCGGGACTGCCAGCAGTCCCTTCGGAGAGAAGACACAGTCTACTTGGGGTGAGCAGAGGGGCAGCTGCTGGGCCTGGAGTCCAGGAAGAGGCAGGCTGTAGAAAGGGCTGCAGGCCAGCTCTTCCCAGTCAGGTTCAGGGCAGGCTTGGACATCCCTTTTCCAGCAGACCCTGCACAGCACAGCCCTAGGCCCACAGTCTTGGGACTAATGTGGGTTAGTCCTGCCTAGGGCAGTGGCTACTCAGGTCTGGGCACCCAGATGTCAGGCATGGCTTCCCTCAGCTCTGCTCCAGGCTGTCGTCAGTGGGCTGTACCACGGAGTAGCTGCCCTGGCTGGAGGAGAGCTGCCGGCTGAAGAAGGACGTGGTGCGCTTGGGTTTCACTCGCTTGACCCCCTTGTCTGCGAAGGCGAGAGAGACAGGCTGAGAAGAGGGGCTGGGGGGCTGGGCTTTGCCTCCACTGAGACAGCTTCTTCTAGAGTCTGTTTGAACTGTGCCTTTCCCTCAGGGCTGTCATCATTCTGAGCCTGTCTCCACCCTGATCCATCATCAGTGGCAGGACAGGGAACCATGGTCACCCTCACCAATCCCAGACGGGATGACTCCAGACTGGCTCTGCCCAGGGACTTTCACTAAGACAAGCACAGGTGACAATGGGAAGCCAAACAGATGACAGAAGGCAGTGGCTACAGTCAGGGTGTGAGGACAACGGCACCATGGTCTGCCTGCTCACGTCCCTAAACCCATCAACTCATGAGGGAAAACATCCGATTCCAACAACAGGCCTTTTACAAAATACTCAGTACCCTTCAACATTCAAGCCAAACAAAGACATGACTGTTGGGCCCCAGCCCCACCAGGTCTCTGTGAATTGCTGGTCAGCCTACAAGTGCAACTTGTTTTCCAGTCCAAGTGCTTCCTGTGTTCTAGTCCTGGCTTACTGCCCCAGCCTTGACCCTCTGACATCAACATTCAGCAGGAGGAAAACATGATCTCTTCCACCTGGGGTTTTTCCACTGTGCTGTAAACCTGTATATAAAGCTCCTCCCTCTTACATGAGAGAGAGCTCTTAGCATTTGTTTTTTGTTTTCTTGTTTTGTTTTGTTTTTTTCTAGACAGGGTTTCTCTGTGGCTTTGGAAGCTGTCCTGGAACTCCCTTGGTAGTCCAGGCTGGTCTCGAACTCACAGAGATACGCCTGCCTCTGCCTCCCGAGTGCTGGGATTAAAGGCGTGCGCCACCAACGCCCAGCCAGCTCTTAGCATTTGTAATGAAGACACAGACACAGACACAGACACGCACACACACACACACGCACGCACACACACACACACACACACACACACACACACACACACATTCTCCTGGCAATAAAGGCAGCACATAACATTCTCTTAGTACAAACTCTTTCCCTGATACCTCGGAGTTGCTTGTGGTGCGTGCGCCGCACATGACAACTACACGCAATGAAAGGACAGGATGTCTGAGAGCCATTTCAAGTTTTGGGTCAGCACAAGTTACAGTGAAGACAGTGTGTGATATACTAACATTAAAAAGAAATAAATGGTGGGGCTGGAGAGATGGCTCAGCGGTTAAGCGCTCTGGCTGCTCTTCCAAAGGTCCTGAGTTCAATTCCCAGCAACCACATGGTGGCTCACAACCACTTGTAACTCTAGTTCCAAAGTATATGATACTCTCTTTTGGCTTCCTTAGGTACCAGATACCCAAGTAGTGCACAGACACACATGCTGACATAAAATAATTAATAAACTAAGCTGGGTGGTGGTAGTAAACACCTTTAACTCAGCACTCAGAAGGCAGAAGCAAGCAGATCTCTGCAAGTTCAAGGTCAGCCTGGTCTACAGAGCATGCTCCAGGACAGCCAAAGCTACATAGAGAAATCCTGTCTCAAACAAACAAACAAACAAACAAAATCCAAAAAACTCCAACATGGTCTAGTATGAAGGAACTATGTATTCCAGGTTGTCCTCAAACTGGAGAATCTGCTTACCTGGGTCTCCTGAGTGCTAGGGCTAAAGGCATGTGACGGGATACCCAGCTTTAATTTTTTTTCAATAGACAGCCTAGCTGGCCTAGAACTTGCTATGTAGCTCAGGGTGGCTTTGGGCTTCTGATCCCACTGCCTCTACCTCCCAAGTGCTAGGTTTACAAGTGTAGTCACCACACCTGGCTTTAAAAAAAAACATCCCAGGGGCCAGAGAGCTCAGCATTCAAGATCACTTGTTCTTGCAAAGGGACCCAGGTTTGGCTTTCAGCAGCCACATAACTCCTATTTCAGGGGGTGGGGAGATCTGACTCCCTCTTCTGGCCTCTGTGGGCACCAGGCACACACAGGTAGTGAATGTATGTACATATATGAAGGCAAACATACATGTACATAAAAATCTGTAAGTATATAAGCATATTAGTTATAATAAGTAAACTTTGGTTTGACTCAAGCATGCTGGGCAAGTTCTCTATCACTGAGCCACCTTCCCAGTTCAAAATACTTCAAGCTCTGAGATTATATGTACACACTGGAGTAAAATGTGCTTTTTCAGATTATGAAAATGACTTTAAGCCGGGTGGTGGTGGCTCACACCTTTAATCCCAGCACTCGGGAGGCAGAGGCAGGCGGATCTCTGTGAGTTCGAGGCTGGGCTGGACCGACAGCCTTGAAAACAATACAGAGAAACCCTGTCTCGTAAAAACCAAAAAAAAAAAAAGACTTTAGCTGGGTGTAATGGCACTTACCCGTAATCTCAGCACTTTGGAGGTAGAGGCAGGAGGATCAGGAATTCAAAGTCATCAGTTACATATTCAAGTTTAAATTTAGTCTAGATTACAGGGGAAAATGCCCAAAACAAACCACCACCACCAACAACAAAAAACAAGGTGGCACACGCCTTTACTCCCACCACTAGGGGGACAGAGCCAGGTGGACCTCTTGAGTTCAAGGCAAGCCAGGTCTACATAAGAGAGTTCAGAGCTATACAAGGAAATCTTAATCTAAAAAAACAAACAAAAAAATGTTATGTGTGTTGGGGGAATGGGGTTCATGCACCACAGGTATGTGTGTGGAGGTCAAAGAACAACTTTCTAGAGCTTGCCTTCTCTTCCCATCACTGGGTTGGGTTCTGAGAGGGGAACTTAGGTCTCCGGTCTTGGTGGCAAGTCTCCTTACCTGCTGAGGCATCTCACCAGTCCCTAACCCTAACCCCACTCTTTATCTTGGACTAAGTCCAGGTGTGCATAATCATACCTATAATCAAAGACATTGGATCCCTGATAGCACTTCCCACTCTCAGGAGCATTCTCATTTTTCCTTAATAAATCTACATTCACTGCTCAAAAACGAGATATTAGCAAGCTAGAGATGTAGCTCAAGGGCAGAGCACTTGCCTAAAACGACTGAAGCTCTAGGTTCAATCCCCAGTACACTTGTTTTGTTTTTTTAAGACAGGGTCTCATCCAGGCAGTGGTGGCACACACATTTAATCCCAGCTCTCTGGAGGCAGAAGCTGCCAGATCCCTGTGAGTTTGAGGGCAATCTGGTCTATAGAGCGCGCCCTAGGACAACTAGAACTGTTACACCTAGAAACTTTGTCTAGAGAAACAAACACCACAAAAAACCAGGGTCTCACTGTGCAGCTCTTTGATGGACTGGAACCTGACTATGAAGACCAGCCTGCCTTTACACTCACAGAGATCCCAGTGCTTTTGATGGACTGGAACCTGACTATGAAGACCAGCTTGCCTTTACACTCACAGAGATCCCAGTGCTTTTGCCAAGGTGCATGCTGTGTCACCACACATGGTTAATTTCTTTTTAATTACAATTTTTTCTTTGTGTCTGGACATATGTATGTGCCTGACATGGTGTATGTGTGTGGAGGTCAGAGTCCATTCTGTTCCCTACCCTGTGGTCCAAGGGATCTAACTCAGCTGTTAGGCTTCGTGGCAAGCATATTTACCCACCAAGCCTCTTACACTGGCCCTAGTACTACATTTAAGAAAAAAAGGCATGAAAAGTTTCTTTCCTGTTTTCCATTTATGGAAGACGCTACAATGGACATGTTTGTCAGTGCAGCGGTAAGATGAGACCAACAGGAAATACCCCCGAGGGCCTCACCCCAGTTCTTCTCCCACCCTCTGGAGTTCCTGTGCATGTGCACGCTGTGTACACACTGTTTGTGTGTGGTATAGACACACCACCAGAGGCTTACCGTCTTCCACATAGTCAATGGTGGAGAGATGCTGAATTCGGCTACAGACCACACTACCCTGCCTCCGCAGCTTGGGACGCTGAGTGGGAGGTGGAGAGGGACTAGGAGCTTCCTGAGAGCCAGATGCGCTCTCCTGGGGCAGAGTGGGCTCAGCGGCCTGGCTCAGCTCAATGCAATATTCAATGAGGCCACTCATCAGCTCAGCCTGGGGAGGAGAGAAGGGCTGGGGTGAGGCCACAGAGCAGCAGTTACTGAGGGACATCATGCATTACCCAGCCCTAAAGCCTTTGTTTCTGGTGGGGGCTGAGGGGAGGGAGGAGAGAACTCCCAGCACCCTCATTGCAGCTCACAATTGTTTGTAACTCCAGTTCTTGGGGATCTGACACCTATGGCAAACATCAATGTGCAGAAAATAAAAATAAAAACAAAACAAAAAAACCAAAACAGGGCTGAAGATGTAGCCCAGATCACAGAATGCTTTCCTAACATGCATGAAGCCCTGGAACATTCCTCAGCATCACATAAACAGGGCATGGTGGTTCATGTCTGTAACCCCAGCACTCAGGAGGCAGAGGCAGGCAGATCTCTTCGAGTTTGAGGTTAGTGATTCTACAAAGCAAGTTTCAGGATAGCCAGAGCTGCAGAGAAACCCTATCTCAAAAAAGAAAGAGAAAAAGAAAAAGAAAAAGAAAGACAAAGACAAAAGAAAATGAAAGCCAGCCAGGCTTAGTGGCACATTCCTTTAATCTAGCATTCAGAGGCAGAGGCAGGCCCATCTCTGAGTTTGAGGCCAGCCTGGTCTGCAGAGAAAGTTCCAGGACAGCCAGGGTTACACAGAAAAACCTTGTCTCAGAAAGACAGAAAAAGGGGGGGAAGGAAGCTGGATGTTGGTGGTGCACACCTTTAATCCCAGCACTCTGAAGGCAGAGGCAGGTGAATCTCTGTGAGTTCGAGGCCAGCCTGGTCTACAGAGTGAGTTCCAGGACAGCCTCCAAAACAATACAGAGAAACCCTGTCTCAAAAAAAGAAAAAAAAGAAAGAAAGAAAAGGGGGTGGGAGGATTGCCGGAGAGATGGCTCAGTGGTTGGTAGCACTGGCTGTTCTTCCAGAGGACCCAGGTTCATTTCCCAGCACCCACATAGCAGCTCACAACTGACTGTAACTCCTGTTCCAGGGGACCCAAAACCCTCACAGACATACATTCACACAAAACACTGATGCACATTAAATTTTAAAAAGGGGGTCTGTATCCACATAAAACCCTATGCAGAGCCAGGCGTGGGTGGGGCACACCTTTACTCCAGCACTTGGGAGGCAGAGGCAGGCGGATCTCTGTGAGTTCGAGGCCAGCCTGGTCTACAACAGCTAGTTCCAGGACAGCCTCCAAAGCCACAGAGAAACCCTGTCTCGGAAAAAAAAAAAAACAAACCAACCCCCACCCACCAAAAAAACCCAAAACCCTATGCAGAAATGTTCAGTGCAGCTTATTGAAGTGAAAGCGGGAACAACTCGCATGCTCTTCAACAGGCGAGCTGTGCACCTGTGCAGCTGACCACTAAACACTAAAAAGGGACGACTGGGACCTGGGGTGGGGCCATTCAGTGACAGAGGATTTACCTAATGTGTATGGCGTGGGTTTGATTCCCCAGCACCAGAAAGCAAGAAAGGAAAAAGAAAGAAGAGAAAGAATGGACAGACACACCACACGATACGGACGAATCTAAAAGCATGTTGTTTAGTGAAAAGCAGCCACCCTCAGTGATGAAGGGCTGAATACAACTTGTGCCTCTGTTTGCTGCTTACTAGGTAGCTGGGTATTCCATTTTTTGGGAGACCAGAGGGAGAGGACATGTATTTTCAAAGATAGGAGTCCTGGAATTAGTCTATGTACTAAAGGAAGAAAGAGAGGCAAGAACAGTCCCCAGAAAGGCTCAGAGCAGGGACAGCTCTGCCATGGCTGAGTACAAGGGGAACGATGGGTGGTGGACGGAAAGAATGGATCTCCTTAACACGGGCCCTGCACCTGCTGCTCAGCTGTACTCTCTGGGGCTTCTGCACAGGGATGGCATGACTGTGCAGACATCATGTGTGGTCCCAGAACAGGTGCAGAGCTCACCAGGGCCGCTCAGGCCAACCGATGCCAAGTCAGACACTCCAACCTCGTTCCCAGGCACCTAAGAGCTCCCAAGGTTTGGGGCCCCCTGGACCCAGTCTTTCTGAGTGTGTGTGACCACACATCACTACCTGCTTGGAGTAGATCCTCAGTAACTTGTTGACAGGTGTGCCTTCACTGTCACCATCAAACTCTAGCCACAGGACAGGCTCCTCCTCCTCGGGGGAAGTGTGGTCCCACGACAGCTCCTGAAAGCGCAGGCCCAGCAGCACATACTGGGCAGTGGGAAACCAAGGACAAGGCGTGAGCATCTACTTCCCATTGGGTCCCACCAGGCTCCACCTGAAGAAGACACTTAACCAGGATGCTAGCCTCTCCACACTGGTGCATTCTCCTTTCTGAGGGAGGGAGGGCCTCGTTATGTAGCGCTGGCTAGCCTCAGGCTCACTGGGATCTGCCTGCCTCTTCCTCCCTCTGCTGGGATTAAAGGATGTTTATTTTCTTGTTTGCTTTGTGGCTCTGAGAACTGAACTCAGAGCCTTATATATACAAGGTGAGAATACTACCACTGGCTAGAGCCCAGGACCTCCACGCTAAGTCTGCATCTCTTCCAGTATGACGTCAGGGATCCATACTCTTCAATGCTCCCTCCAGCAGGTTAGGCCCCTCCCTGATGGCCAGAAAATCAGCCAGGGCAAGCAAGGGTTTTGCCCTGAGAACAGCTGGGATTGGTATGCCAGGGCACAGGTGCAGGCAACTACAGCACAAGGAAGGCCGTTGACACCACAGTTTACATGGCAAGCCAGAGGTAAGGCAGACACCAAATCAGAGCTCTTGGCCAGCCCAGGGAGTTCCCAGCAGGAATCTTCGTGGAAAATGGCCAGTGGGTCTCCACCATTGGCCAGGAGCAGCAGCAAGGTGCTGCCAGACTCTACACTCAAGAGTCAGAATCCCAGCTGTCACACCTCTGTGTGGCTCCGAAAAGCAGATTCAGAACAGACTCAGAGAAGGTCTCAGAATGCATGAGCACAACTCCAGACATCTGAGGGAGGCAGAGTCACCTACACAGTCTACTCAGTACTGTTCCTAGGATGCCTGTAGTCCTAGGGGAACCAAGAAGCCATGGACAAGACCGCCATCTCCCTTCTGTCCCACCACGGGCAATTCATTCCCACCCTGAGGAGCTAGACTGAGGCAGTACCTTCTCCCTGCTGTCGATGACATATACACCTTCCAGACTGATGGCCACGGTCACTGGTTTGCGCCCGCCCCGATGCAAGAAGCCCTGGGCTGGCTTGTCGACCTCACCATGGAAGAAGGCACACCTGGAGACAGCACTGGTGTCAGCCCCTCCCTCCAGCACACAGGAACACTACTCTGGCTACCCAGAGCTGTTTGGGTGACCTGCCGCCCCCACCTCCCGGCGGGAAGTAATAAGGCGGTATTGGGGGTAGTTAACACCTCACTGGCTGTGTAGGTGCAGACTGAGCAGGTGGAAGGAGAACTGGGTAACACAGGGGGCACCGTGGACAGAAGGACAGCACAGACCCAGCCAGGAGGACGAGCCAGCTGCATCACGGACCCCAAGGAGCCTGGGTGCCTCAGGGGAGGGGGAAGGTTGAGCCCGCTGCACTGCACTGTTCATGGCAGAAGGGACCCGCTGGGGCACTCGGGGAGTAGGACCGCCTAGAATAGTGAGTGACATCTGAGCTTAAGACTAAAGGGAAAGGCGAGGTGGTTTCAGGGTGGAAGACACCTAACTGCCGTCTCCTCTATGCTACACCATGCTTTCACCATTCTGAGGTTCTCCTTGCTGCTCACACTTGCCTAAGCCACAGCCCAAGTCAAAGCTGGTTCTCTCCATGCAGGAGGGGACTAGAGGTGAGGGAACTCTAGTTCTTAGGTTCAGCTGATGAGGAAAATGAAATCATAAGACCCCATTTCCATTGCACTCGCTCTTGGATCGCCCATTAGTGAGCATAGGCACACCCACACACAACACACACACACACACACACACACACACACACACACAAGATGTCATCTTATCCATTATAAAAACCAATAAATTATTTGTCCCTGGTAGGCCCACATCTGCTCCATTGTCCAGTAAAACTCCATAAAAGCTAATCACACTGGCTGTCTCACCCCACCCTACCCCGCCTGTTTTTTCAAGACAGGGTTTCTCTGTGTAATAGCCCAGGCTGTCCTGGAAGTCCTCGATCTATAGACCAGGTTGGCTCCAAACTCACAGTGATCCACCTGCCTCTGCCTCCGGAGTACTGGGATTAAAGGCGTGCACCGCCACCGCCGGCTGGCTTACACTTGTTTTCTAACCCTCTTCTCATACTACTGAGGCCAAACCACAGCACAAAGATGAGCTCTCAACGGGGCACAATGAACAAAACCCTGAAGATGCAGGACTGGGCATGTGGCACCTGGCATGAAGAGACTCCTGCCTGGACAGTCTCCTCCACACCGTTCCTCTCCTCCACTCATCTCTGACCACCTCTCAGAGCTCCAGATCTGAAACAATTCACTAATTGTTTTTTTCAGCCCTACACTGGGAACCCAAATGCCTGTGTGGAATCACCACTCAGGCATCTACTAGGCACCTTTCAGCCGGCACATCCAAAGCCAAGTTCCCACCTGCCCCACCGAAGCCCACATCCCAGCAAAGGACAACTGGCCCAAACAATAGGCTAAAGTTCGGAAAACCATCTGTGCCTAGATTACTGTTCCCACCTCCTCTACTCTCCTGGCTGCTATTTACAGTGGCTCCTACCTCTGTCTTCCCACTCAAAGGGCGGCCTTCTCACTATGTGGGGCATGCCCAGCAAGAGAGAACTACTTGTTACACAGTGTGTGAGCAGGAGCTCTAGCCGAAAGGGCCATCAGCCAGCCAGGAAGTGGCTGTAGTGGGTAGGAGAGGACCGAGGAGTGCTGGCTGGAGACGGGAGGAAGAGACACTTGGGACAAGTGTCAAGCCAGCTCCTAAAGAGGATGCTGCCACTGGAACACAGGCGGGGTCTCTTGCTGCCACACTGTCAAGCCTGGGGATGGTCTGGAGAGTAAAGAGGGGGGAGGAGCTCTAGAGATACACCACTTACCCGTAGAAGGGCAGCTCGTGGCACTTGAGGAGGTAAGCGCGATAGTGGGAGCCCAAGGTGGTCTCACTGTCACTGCCTGTGGCCTCCTTTACCTGGCGGTAGGCATTCAGCACACCTTGCTCGCTTGACCCAGTCTTGGACCCTCGGCCCCGGAAGGCAGCAAAGAGACCATGGCCTCGTTTGCAGAGGTGGGCAGGGAGGAAGGAGTCCAACTTCTCCCTGGAGTGGAAGGAAATGAGGTAGAAGGGGCTCGTCCAGGGGTGTTAGGGCTCACATGCTTACGTACCTTGCTCATAGGGTGGACAAGGCTTGGTAGGTGGCAGGGATTAGGAACTCTTCAAGGCACAACTACACCAAGGCCCTCTGCTGTGCAGTAGCGTGGCCGAGTCTTTCCCTGTACTACGTTAGGGTTACTACCAGTTCCCAAATAACAACACAGAGACTTCTTATTAATTATGAAAATTCGGGCTTAGCTTAGGATTGTCCTTCTAGTTCTTATAACTTAAATTAACCTGCTTCTATTAACCTACATTTTACCATGTGGCTTTTTACCTTTCATTTTGTATGTCTGACTGCCTCCATGTCTCCTTGGTGTCTGACTCGTACCTAGAGTCATCTCCTACTTCTCTCTCTCTGTCCCAAGTCCCGCCTATAACTCCCGTCTAGTTATTGGTCGTTCAGCTCTTTCTTAAACCAATCGCAGTATTACATCTGCACACAGTGCACAAATATCTTACAACACAGCAGGGGTGACAGAGATGCTGAACTGCAGAGATTCCCCACTGTCCCCACCCAGTAATGGCTGCTCAGCCTGGCTCAGGGCCAACCCTGCTTGATATGCAAGATCCACTGTTTTGTTTTGTTTTTTTTTAAATTGTGTATACAGCCTTCTGCCTGCATGCCAGCAGAGGGCACCAGATCTCATTCAAGGTGGCTGTGAGCCACCATGTGGTTGCCGAGAATTGAACTCAAGACATCTGGAAGAGCTGCCAGTGCTCTTAACTGCTGAGCCATCTCTCCAGCCCCGCAAGATCCACTGTTGAGCTGGGGGTAGGACGCTCTTCCTCTCTAAGAAAACAGGGCTCACAGAGGAAGGAGTCCAGAGCAGCAGGCACTCCCTGTCAGCAACACTGTTCACCCAGGAAACTCAAGAGAATAAGCTGGCAGAAACACAGACAGGGTGTCACCAGAACCAATTTCCACCCAAGAGGGAAGGAGACAAACATTTTTAACACCCACTGCATGCTGGGCTCTATGGGGAACCCCTTCGCATCAAATGAGGTATGGCAGATATCAGAGCAATGTCTGAGTCCTGAGGCTGGACAATTGAGTTTTCTGGCCGGGCGTTGGTGGTTTCCACCCAAAATGATATGAATGGTGTGATGTTCTGTGCTGGCTAGTTTTTTTGTTTGTTTGTTTTTTGTTCTTTTTTGTTTTTTCCAAGACAGGGTTTCTCTGTGTAGCTTTTGGAAGCTGTCCTGGAACTCACTCTGTAGACCAGGCTGGCCTTGAACTCACAGAGATCCGCCTGCCTCTGTCTCCCGAGTACTGGGATTAAAGGCATGCACCACCAATGCCCGGCTGTGCTGGCTAGTTTATGTCAACCTGATACAAGCTAGAATCACCAGAGGGAACCTAGACTGAGAAAATGCCTTCATAAGACTGGGCTGTGGACCAACTTGTAGGGCATTTTCTTAATTAGTGACTGATGGGGGGGGGGGGAAGCCAATTATGAGTTGGGGCCACCCTTGGGCCAGTAGCCCTGGGTTCTATAAGAAAGCCGACTGGGGGAGGGGGGGGACTGGAGAGATAGCTCAGTGTTTAGGATCACTGCCTGCTCTTCCAAAGGTCCTGAGTTCAATTCCTAGCAATCACAGGGTGGCTCACAAACATCTGTAATAAGATCTGGTGCCCTCTTCTGGCCTGCAGGTACACATGCAGCCAGGTATGGTGGCGCATGCCTGTAATCCCCTTAATCCCAGCACTCAGGAGGCAGAGGCAGGTGGATCTCTGTGAGTTCAAGACTAGCCTGGTACACAGAGTGAGTTCTAGGACAGCCAAGGCTGTCACACGGAGAAATCCTGTGTCGAAAAACCAAAAGAAAGAGGCTGAGTAAAAGCAGACCGAGCGAGCCATGAAGAGGAAGCCAGTAAGCAGTAAGTAGCCCCCGCCCATGGCCTGAGCATCAGCTGCCAGTAAGCAGTTAAGTAGCCCCCACCCATGGCCTGAGCATCAGCTTCTCCCTCCAGGTTCCCACCTGGTCTGAGTTCCTGCCTTGGCTCTCCTCAGTGGACAGTGATTCAGGAAATGTAAGCCAAATAAACCCTTTCCTCCCCGAGTGCTTTTGGTTCTGATGTTCCATCACAGCAGTAGGAACCCAACTAAGACACTCTCTCAGTGTCCTGTCCAGCAGGACAAGAATGGCCCAACACCAACTAGATCATCACAGATTCATGGAAAACAGGGCATCTTCCTTACACAGCTAGAGCCCCCAGGCTCGCTCTAGTGCTCACGCTTGGTCCCAGGTCCACTCTACAGGGTTGCTACAGCCTGATCATCTGGAATCATTTTCTCTATTGAGCTTCCTTCCTCTCAGAAGATTATAGCTTGTGTCAAGCAGACATAAAACTAGCCAGCACAGAGTATCACACCATCCACTCAAAACACAGGAACACAAGGCAGGGAGACTCTCTATATAAGAATGACCATCATGCCGGGCGTCGGTGGCGCACGCCTTTAATCCCAGCACTCGGGAGGCAGAGGCAGGAGGATCTCTGTGAGTTCGAGGCCAGCCTGGTCTACAGAGCTAGTTCCAGGACAGCCTCCAAAACAATACAGAGAAACCCTGTCTCGAAAAACCAAAAAAAAAAAAAAAAAAAAAAAGAATGACCATCTTCCAATGCAGGCCACCTGAACTCCTGCTGGCAGAGAATGACTCTCCAGCAGACCATATCCAGAGTTCTGGGCTTGAGGACTCAAAATTAGCATTTACATATAGGCCCTGTCTACAAGAGAACCAAAATTCCACAGGCACAGAAGATCCCAACAGAGCCCTCAGCTTTAGGTTAACTTTGTAAACCTCTATGGTGTCACCTTGTCTGGAGAGGAGTCCTGCTGGGCTTTTGAAATCTAAACACCCAGGCCATGGGGACAGCTGATCCAAGGGAAGAGAAGGGAAAGGCCAGGAAGGAACTTGTTAGCCTGAGTCACTGGGTACATGAGGGGACTCCAGCTGTGCCCATTTCACCATCTGTGTCCCATCCCCTACCAGTTCCCACATGTCAGGAAAGCCTGCAGGCTCACATGGGGTCCATGGAAGACACAGCTGCAGCCCATCAGCGGCCTAGCCACTGTACTTCCTTCCTGTCTGTGGGTCTGGCATAAGCTGTGTGCCATGAGAGCAGCCAGGGGGCTCCAGCTGTGTAAGGAAAGTGGTGCCTCTCCTCTGCAACAGTTGGTACAGCCACTTGGTCACAAGGGAATGACATCCCTGAGCTGAGTTGAATGACAAGGAGCACAGGGTCTGGGACAGAGCTGAGCTCAGCCCAGGACACCCTGACCATCTGGACTTGCATATCACATGAGTTAACAAAGGAATTTCCTGTGCAAATAAGTTGAACTGGGCTTTGTTTATTTGTGTTTTTGTTTTGTTTTGTTTTTTAAGACATGAATGCTCTGCCTGCATGTATGCCTGCGGGCCAGAAGAGGGCACCAGATCTCATTATAGATAGCTGTGAGCCACCATGTGGTTGCTGGGAATTGAACTCTTAGAACCTCTGGAAGAGCAGGCAGTGCTCTTAACCACTGAACCATCTCTCCAGGCCCAGACCTGGGCTTCTTTTCAGGCACAAGAAAAACAGACTTGCTCATCTTGAGGTTCAAGACACCACGGCCACCAGCCTTAGACAGCTCAGCTGTAGGCTTTCAGGGGACTTTGAACCCAGAGCAGTCCTGCCAGGCTCCAGTCACCAGTGTGGGGTCTCTCCTTGATGACTGGGGAAACAAGGAGCTCTGGTTAGAAATAGGCTGGAATGCAAGTTTACTAGGCACCAGAATTTGTCATAATTTTTGTTTGTTTGCAACAGGGTTTCAGGTACACTATGTAGTTAAGAATGACCTTGAACTCCTGACCTTCCTGCTTCATTCCCTGTTCAAAGAAATTGCCAGCATGAGGCTCCATGCCTGGCTCACCACTCTTTTTTTTTTTTTTTTTTTTTTTTGGTTTTTCGAGACAGGGTTTCTCCGTGGCTTTGGAGGCTGTCCTGGAACTCGCTTGGTAGTCCAGGCTGGTCTCGAACTCACAGAGATCCGCCTGCCTCTGCCTCCCGAGTGCTGGGATTAAAGGTGTGCACCACCAACGCCCGGCTCTGGCTCACCACTCTTTAGCCCAGGCTGCTTGGAACTCATGGCAATCCAGTCTCAGCCTCCCAAATGCTAGGATTACAGGTGTGAACCAGACCTTAGCCCTGGAATTATTTCTAAATTTTTACAGAGGCAGAGAATGACCTGGTCTGCTATTATGGCAGATTCAACTCTCATCTTTCTAGACATGAACCAGAAGCAGGCAACGGCATGGTGAGTATCTGGGGAACAGGATTCTATTCTTGGGGTTTGAAGTTTAACTCAACCTTAGTGGTTACTGGGAAGGGGAGGGGAGAGGAAGGTCACGAGGTTACTTCCTGGCTGTGACTCTAAGGAATAAAGCACTACTCTCTCCAGACTTCAGCTAGAGGTAGAGCTCCATCCCCTTGCGCTGAGGACGCCTCTGAGACATCATTTCATGTGTATCCACTGTCCACAGGCTGAGGAAAAGGTGCTAGGAAAGTAGAGAACGCACCAAGGCCACCGGTAAGCATGCGTCATCAGAAGCCTGCCTTCAGGACTACCCCGCCTTGTAGGACCTAGAACCACTTGTAGGTAGAATCTTGTACAGCGACTTTCCCACTGGGTGCCCATCCCAAGTCTCACTGCCCTTACCTCAGAGTGCAGGCAGCAGGCTGGTCAGGCTGGTAAGGCCCAAGCTGCACACGGCACACCAGGGCACCCAGCACCTCACAGTCCTCCAGGTCACAAGGGTATCGAGCAGTCAGCACATTGCCCTTGGCTTCCTCATAGAACAGCCGCAAGACCTCATCATCATGGATCTGCAGGCCAGCGTGGCATGAAGATGACAGTTCAGAGGCACTGGGCAGGTGTGATTGTCTAGGTGTCTAGGGTTTTGGGGAATGGGCACTGGGCAGGTGTGATGTCTAGGTGTCTAGGGTTTTGGAGGAATGGGCACTGGGCATGCCTTACCACCTTACCTGGAGCTCTCGGTGCTTTGGGAAGAACACATTCCTTCGGAACTGAAGGGAAGGCTCATCTGGGGAGAGGAGCCGGAGTCAGTGCCTGGTCCACCTGCATTACACAGCCCTCCCCTCCCCTCCCCTGCCCTAAATGGCCCACCCAGACTCCCAACCTCATTTTTTCACCAGAAAGAGCCCTCCTGAGTGGGGGTTGCTGACTAGACAGTGAGCACACAGTGTGTCTCTGTTCATAGCCTCTCCCAGCCTAGCCCTCCCAAGGCTCCCTGCAGGTACCCCTTAAATTCTGTCAGGGGTGGCTGACTGACCCATGGCCACATCATCATCGGAGGCATCGGTGAAGCGCAGCAGCAGCTCTGGCCACTGGCGGCCCAACTTGTAGGGCAGGTGCTTGGGTTTCAACTGCACCTCTGCAGGGTAAGAGAGGAGATGGCATGAAGCTGCTGACCAGGCTAATGGTGCCCAACCACCCATCATACTTCCTGCCAACAGTGAGGGCAATCACAACCAACAACTGAGCAGGCCCGGAGCCAGTCAGACAATTCAAGTGCATTCACCCTGGAGCAGCCCTGACCTCTACTCTAACTTGGAGAGAACCAGGTTCAGAGGGGTTAGGCCACCTGTCTCACAGCGAGTGACAGATTCAGCTTGTACACTGTGAATTAGGTGACAGTGGTCCCGTGAGATGTTGCTTGAGAGGTGAGGTGGTGTTGGGCTCACCCAGGGATGTGCTGCGATGTACGGAGAGGGAGCCACCACATGCGTGCCAGACAGACGCCAGTGGTTCTTTGGACCACTTAGACCTTCCTTCTGGACCCTGATCTTGACAGGATAGCAGTCCCAGCCTCCAAGTGGCCTCCTTGTCTCTAGCCTCCTCCATTCGACGTCTACACCTAGCCCCAGGCCTTTCTTGTCCTATTTTTCTGAGCCCACTTTCCTCCGCCTCTCCCATCCTCCCACTATCCACAGGCTCGCAAGACGGGGCTGTGGAGCAACAAGATTACTCACTGCACCTGAAGCCCACAGGGGATGGCAACTTCACAGGGCCACACACAGTGGCTACACGGGACCAGAGCTTAGCTTCCCAAGCCTCCCTTGAGTACACATCTGACTCAAGAGTGTCTTTGCTTAGGTGTCCAATGGAGGACCCCATGGGTCTGATTCCCTGTCTGTCCCAGCACTGAGAAAATCCAGAGTGGGATGGCAGGTCTGGGGACAGGCATGTGTTCCTCAGGCCTTCACTCCCAGGTCCCTGAGATCCCACCATCGGACTACGGCTGTGCCAACACCACAGCCTCGGACTTTTGGTGGGACCGTCCTCCCTAGCGGCCATCGTCCAAGTAAGACGAACACAGTTCCTGGAGCCAGTTCCAAGCAGAGGGGAGAAGGCCAAGCACACCAAAACGAGGCGCATGAACCCTGTGCCTCCCAGACACCCGCAGCTGGGAAGGCAGGCAGGCCACTGCTTTGCTTAGTGCGGGTGTGTGTGGGGAGTGTCCTGGGGGCCTGAAGACACCCGCAGCTGGGAAGGCAGGCAGGCCACTGCTCTGCTTAGTGCGGGTGTGTGTGGGGAGTGTCCTGGGGGCCTGAAGCAGCCTTTCAGTCTTGTACCCCAGCCTGGGAAGAACGTGGGTGGTAAGCGCACAGCAGCCTCAGGCACTCTCCTCCTGGACAGCCGCGCACAGGCAAAGCATTCAGCCCTTGCCTCTAGCCGGCTACAGGAATGCGAGGGCGTGGGGGTGAATACAGTGGAGGAGGAGCAGGCTTCCGGGCAGCAGCACAGCAGCCACCCACTAGGACCCTCTATCCCCAACTTTCCATATAACCAAGGGGCCCACAGCCCCTAAGCAGCTCAGAGAGCAAAGGAGGGGCTGGGCCAGCAGGAAGAGGGTGGGCGTGAGCCTGGGAACAACAAATGCAGGAAGCTGGGGGCAGGGAGGAGCAAGGGTGGGGGCTGGGGCTCCACCCACAGGACAGAGGCGGAGACCCTAGGGACCCCAGGAGAGGAAGGCACCAATTCTAATCCCTGGGGCCTGACCCAGCATGCCTCCTTCAAATTCTTGAGGCCAAATACCTTCTTCCTCCACAAGGGGGATAGTCTTCTTGTTTTTTTTTTTTTAAACTGGGGACTGAACCCAGGGCCTTTCATAGGCCCTGTACTCTACTACTAAGCTGTATCCCTCCCCTCAAAGGGAACTTTTTTTTTATGACATACTCTGGTACATGCTCAACCTAAAAATAATAGCAACAGTTATTATTATTACTGTGCAATGTGCGGTCACGAATGTGAAAGTCAGAGGGCTGCTTGAGGAACGTGTTCTCTTCTTCCACCACATGGGTCCCAAGGACCAAACTAGGGCCACCAGGCTTAGCAGCCAGCACTGTCACTGAGCCATCTTGCCAGCCCTCAAAGGAAAACTTAAGTTCAGAAAAAATGTCTGGTGCCAGCACTGATTTATTTCCCCAAATGATTCTCCTTTAGTTACTTTCTTCCTGTGTCAACAGGCTCAGGGACCATAATGAGAGACTTGATACACTGGCCCCCGAGTCTATAAAACCCTGTCTCCATTCCCACCCCACTTTGAGGCCCCTGCCTGTGAGGGCAGGAAGTGTGTGGTCACAGGGCCAGAAGCCAGGTAGGGTGGAGAAAGCCATGTTCCTCTTCTTCCTGCAGCCCCGCACCTAAGCAAAGACATCCCTGTCCAGGGCCGCTTGCTGAGCCATGTCTACACCCTTCCTGACGGCCAGCGGTCCAGAGGCTCCACGCTGTGGCCAGTCTTGGTCCTGATACCCACTAGCCCACAGCTCCAGATCCAGTACTTCACATTCCTGGGCAGACCTGAGCCATGGGGAAACACTCAAGTCATACTCCCAGGGTGTGGCCCAGACAGCAGGCTCTGTAAGCAGGGGGCCTTCTGCTCTTCTGAAGGTCAGTACTGAACCAGCACAAGAAAAAAGACAGCGACAAAGGATCCAGAAAGTTCCTCAGGGCTCTGGGACGCACCCGGTTGCATCTTTCCCTGCCAGACCTTACCTAGAAGAGGGGAGACAAGCCAGAGTGCAAAGGCCTCCAGGGCCACATCTGGGAGCTGCAGGACATCGTGGACTGCGCGGTGCAGCTCATGGGCACTGATCGAGGACAGGTTCTCCACAGCCAGGGGCACTACTGTGTCATCAGCCAGGTACACCAGCACATCAGCTGCTGGAATATACGTCGGACAGTGTCAGTTGAGGCCCACCACCAGGCCAGTAAGGCATTCTCCACCACCCTCTGCTCCTTTTTATGACCCAAACTACACTGACATATCCCCTCAAGACCCCATTAACAGTGAGGATGTTATGGCCAGGTATGGGGACACACATCTGTAGTCCCTGGATTCAGAAGGCTAAAGCTGGACGATTTCAAGTTTTAGGCCAGCCTGGGCTACATAGCAAGGCCCACTATTTAATTTATAAATAAATAAATGTGCTGCTTTTATGGACTTTCTGAGACCTCAAATTACCAGCCCCATTTCACCCCCAAAGATCCAAAAAGTACAGCTTATGTAAACCACCACCTCCCTTCTTCTGTGTCCTCAATATTGCCGCATTTCCAACAATATTTCTCAGGTGGAAAAGCAGGACAGGGGTGACCCATCCTGAGGTCACAGTTCGCTATCAGGCTGGGAGCAAGGCCAACTAGTGACCTTCTGACCCTGTCTGGGTCAGACTAAGAGGGCAATGGCAATTTCTAAGGCCACCCGGGTTACGGCAGGTTCCAGATCTCAGCTTTGTTGGAACTATTCAAAACTCTAAGGATCAATACTATGGCTTTTACAGAATGCTTTAAGTAGACTAGAAAAAAAAAACCTCAAATAGCCAAGTGTTCCCTTATAACAAGCTTGGGTCTGGAGCCCATAGCCAGTGGGAGATGCCTGGCAGGGTACACAGGTCAGTAAAGGAACACTGAGTTTGGGTGCTCAAATTCCCAACTTGCAATCCTTGTCTTGCTCTCTACTTATTGGCTGAGTCCAGTGGGACTCTGTGCCAGTTGTAAATCTGTAAAAACAGTTAAAAACTCTTCCTCAAAATGTCACCATCAACCCAATGAAGCCTGTAAAAGTGTTGGGCACGGCACATAGCTAACACAATGAAGAGACTTTTAGATTCTGGTCTCTTCTGCTCCAACAGCTACTTTAAGAGATCAAACAGTCTCCTCCAGGAGACAGAGGTCCAGATCCATTTTATAGGCAGGAAAACAGGGCCTTGAAGGCTCAAGTTCATGATCACGCTGGCCCATTCCAGCAGTCTGGGACCTAACAACCTCTCTGGGGCCAAATTGCCTTCCAATAAAACAAAGAGGAAGAGAATCCCTGCTTTCAAAAGGCTGTTTGTAAGAAAGAAATGGAATAAAAAAAAAGTGGTGTCACTTTCTATTCATGTGTCTTCACTTGAACACATGACTTTCCACAAACGAGAGAAGATTCAAGAAGACTATGGCTCTGTCACTAAGCTAGTGACAGAGCCCAGTTAGGTTCTTTGACTTCTATAAGTGTGTCACACCGTAACACATCTTATTTCTTACTTACTATATAACATTAACCTACTAAAAAAGAAGACAGACCGGAACCATGTTCCCAGGACTGGGGCCAAGAAGGGTACAGAAGAGACGGGGAAAAAGGGCAGAGACCTACCTCGGACTCCCACGGAGGAAACGCTGCTTCGGTGGGACCGCTCAGCGTGGCCGGGCTGCCCGGTGTTACCCTCTGCCCCATCCATCTGCAGCAGGAACCTAGGCAGATGGTCTCAAGCTTTCAGTCAAGAAGCAAAGGGGTCCTGGGCTCGGTCTACGGGTCTTAATCTAAGCACAGGCTGAAAGTGGGGAGTGACCCTCGGCCGAGTGCAGGTCGGGGTGGTGCTGGGTCAGGGCAGTGACCGTCAGGTGCAGGGGTCGCAGGTCGCTTGCAAGGGATGCCCAGGCAAGTCAAGGCGCGTCCCCGTCTAGGGCGGGGACCCGGGCAGGGAGTGGCCGCACTCTCACCTCTCAGGGTCGCAGAGCTCGCTGCCTCTGCTAGAACGCCACCCGATTCTGGCCTTCAACTCTGGACCCACCACCACGCCCGCCAGCAGAGCCTCAGACTTCTGCTGAGGGCCGGTACGCAGACCCGCCGAACCTACGATGGGAGGAAGTTCGGACCCGAGGCCTCGCCTCTCCGACCGTGGGAGCCAATCGGAGCCCGGAGCCTCAGCGCACGCGCGCTCACTCGTTCCGTCCTCCAGTCCCGTCCAGCCGCCTGCCCCCCAGCTCGGTGGTCCGAAAGCCCCCTGGCACGAGCCCAGCCTAACCACACCCCTTGTTGTGTCCAGCAGAGCCGCCTACTTGAGTGACCAGTGTCGCTCGGTGCTCAAGACCCTTGATAGGATGTGGCCATGAAAACCAAGGATGAGGGCGCGAGCTGTGCCGCTACCTCTCCCGGTGTCTTGACTGGGCCCCTCTCTGATATGGAGATGCTTCCCTGGGACCAGTGCATGTCTGGGCACTGGGTGGTGTGGCACAGCCCTCCGGGCCCTGTACTGAAGCCCTTTCAGCCCCTAAGGGGAGACTGGCCCTTGGCCTTGGACAGGAGTCAGGGCCCTCACCCTCTAATCCGTTTTTCACCTGTAACATGAGGAAGTTGAACTGAGTGGCTCTCAATAATCACTTTACCCTATATTGTGTTTGTATGTTGGAAACGCAGGACTTGCAGGGTGCAGTCACAGAAGCCTGGCTGTCTTAGATACACAACCTGTAAGATCTAGAGGCATTGCGGTCCCAAAGAGCTGAGGCCTGGAATGTGCCGAGAAAAACAAGTTCATGGGCCCTAATAGCGTCACATGAACGAGATTGTTCCAGGTGGCAACAGGGGCTCGGGGATCAGGAGCAGAACTTGAGTTCGCTCTGTCACCTGATTTCCTGGCTCCTGGCTGGTCTTCAGCGTTGTTTTTGTTTTGTTGAGCTTTACAATTTAATTCATTTAAGGCCAAACTTGATGGCACCCAAGCCTTTAGTCCCAGCAGAGGGAGACAGAGGCAGACAGAGCTCTGATTTCCAGAAAAACCAAAACCAAAAGCAAAACAAACAAAACTACAGTAGGTGGGCCAACCGTGGTGGTAAATGCTGCACCCCTAGCTGGTGGATGATGTAGGCAGGAGGAAAACAGAATTTCAGGACCACACTTGGCCACATAGCCTGGGCCATATGAGACTGTCTCAAAAAAACAAAACCCACAATAACAAAAGTAAGTATTACAGAAGGCTACAGTACTGCTATCGGAGATGCAAAACGCTAAGGGCGGAGAAGGGAAGGTCTTCAGTTCCTGCTACCTACTATGTGCTGGACATGGGCCAAGCCCTTTCCTGAGTCTCATGAACATGTGCTGTGGACTCTGAATGGAAACATTTATGTGCTGGATACTTTAAAGTGTGTGTGTGTGTGTGTGTGTGTGTGTGTGTGTGTGTGTGTGTTAAACCCAGGGCCTCTGCATGGGAAGTAAGCACTCTAATCCTGGACAACACCTGAGAGAAACCGTGGAACCTTTTGTCTTTCTTCCCTGCTCTATTACTGCCTCTTGTTCCCCCGTTTGGACTTTTCCTTCCTCCTATTTCCATGTCCTCTCTGTGTGTGTATGTGCATGTGTGGTGCATGTGGGTGTGTGCATGTGTTATGTGTATACACATGTATTCTGGATGGCTCGGTGAGTAAAAGCGCTTGCCGCACTCCTGACAACCCAAGTGGATAAGATTCAGGCATCTGTAGTCAAAACACTTCTGCAGCCAGACGGACAGCGGAGACGTAGAGTCACCTGAAAGTTGGCTGACCAAGCTGTGCAGCATCAGAAGCACGAGACACCCGCTGCAACCAGGAAGAAGGTTTCTCTGAGTAGCCCTAACTGTCCTGGAAACCTCTTTGTAGACCAGGCTGGCCTCGAACTCAGCACTTACTGCTCTTGCAGAGGACCTGGGTTTGATTCTCAGCACCCACATGTTAGCCCATAGCCATCCTTAAGTCTAGCTCCAGGGAGTCTGGTGCCTTCTTGTAATCTTCACGGGTACTAGGCATGTATATGGCACAGACACATACAAGTAGGGAAACCACTCATACACATAACATAAATCATAAAAATTGAACGTTTTAGCCGGGTAGGGGTGGTGCACGCCTTTAATCCCAGCACTCAGGAGGCAGAGGCAGGTGGATCTCTGTGAGTTCGAGGCCAGCCTGGTCTACAGAGTGAGTTCCAGGACAACCTCCAAAAACAATACAGAGAAACCCTGTCTCGAAAAACCAAAAAAAAAGTTTTGTTTTGTTTTTCAAAACAGGGTTTTCTTTTTTGTTTGTTTCAGGTGTGAAATTCCCTTCTTTTTATTTTTTTTTCAAAACAGGGTTTCTTTGTGTTGCCCTGACTGTCGTAGAACTTGCTTTGTAGACCAGGCTGACCTCGGACTCACTGAAATCCGCCTGCCTTTGCTTCCCAGTGTTTGGACTAAAGGTGTGTTCCAACACTGCCCAGCTTATTTTTAATTTTAGATTTTGCACAAGAAGGAAAGTGTGATAATGGTCTTTCTGAGGTCCGCTTAGCATGATGATCTAGTTCTACTAAGTGTCTCTCGAATGACGGCATTTTGTTGTTCTTTGCCCCTGAGTCTCCATTGTGCGCATGTACTATCCTTTGTCCGCTTCTTTGTTGATGCACTGGGACGTCTCACTCCTGGCACCATTCACCCGTTCACCATCCATTACCATGAACTGTTTACCCTGTGCCACATTCTCTAACCCTTTAGGCATGTCAGTGGATAAAGCCCCTACAGGTCCTTGACTGCACAGCCAGCCAGCTGGCTGCATAGAACAGGTCAGTGACAAGCTTGAGGAGGGAGGGGTGCAGACTTGTGGGTGATTTTGATTGTCCACGAGATGACTTGTGGGGGCGTGCCTCGCTGAGAAGGTGATGTTTCAACCCCAGCTTGAAGAAGTCCAGAGAGAGTTATGTCTAGGAAGAGGAAGCCAAGCCGGCTTTAGGGCCTCGTGGCTGAGAGCCTGTTTACAGTGGAGCAGGAAGCAGGACATGAGATCAGAGGGGAAGGGCGGTACTGGGAAGGCTGAGACAGCACAGAAGGGATTCAGCCTTTCTTTTTAATTTTTAAAGAAAGAAAATTCGTTTGTTGCAGTTTAGAGACAGGGAAGTCCTAAATCTAGGCCCTGGCATCTGGTGAGGACTTCCCTCGCCTGGCATCTGGTGAGGGCTTCCCTCACCTGGCATCCGGAAGCCCGGGCCAGGAGAGCAGGGTTTTTTGGTTTTGATGCAGTGTAGCGCTGGCCTGTGTGCAGTCAAAAGCCCATTGTTCCTTCCCCTGGGGAAGAGGAGGCTGTGGTTCTGACTCAAGGCTGTAAACAACTCCGGAGAGAGCAGACAAACAGGCTTCAGGGCCTGGTGAGTCACTTCTGGGGGAAGGGGCCTCTCTTTCTCGGACAGTCCTGCCCTAGACTCCGGAGGCTGCTACAGGCCTCTGTAGCACAGGACTGACACCTGGTGGCCACATTTGTGACTTTCCATAGCTTCATAGCATGTCAGGATAGGTAAGGCTTGTGCTCCTTGGGAATGAATGGGAATTTGCTCTGGACCGGCTGGTCAAGCAGAGACTTGCTCCTCACTCAGTAAAGCTGCCTTGGAGAGGCTCACCAGGCTAGGACTCAGTTACCATCCTCTGTCACACAGCATGGTTGTCACTGTCCAGGGACAGGACTCAGGCTAGCTGTGTCTGGCAACCTGCCCCTGGAGATCCCATCCATTGAAGGCCTCTTCCAGGCTCAGGGCCACTGAAGTTGGCTCACTCTCCTCACTAATGGTTGCCTGAGGTCTGGGCACTGGGCCACTTCTCACCCTCCAGCCAGGGTTAAACATTAGTGGGAGGTTATCGGGTTCGGAAAGGGGGTGGGGATTTCACTCACAACAGTCTCTGCAGCCCTGCCTGGAACACCAGTTCCCACCCGAGCCCGTACAATGCCTGTGGAGGAGTTCGTGGCTGGCTGGATCTCTGGTGAGACATTTTTCTTCTTTCTGTCATATCACCCCTTAGGGTGGGTTGCTTCCCAGGGAGGGTGGGCTGTCAAGAGTTGTTCCCTCTGGAGTACCCAGAAGCTACCTGTTCCCAGAGCCTTCTGGGAATGGCCAAGGAAGCAGAGGGGAAAGAAGGCAAGAAGAGACTACTTCGGCATCCCAAGGCCATGCTACCTGAGAACACTAAGGGCCTGACCCAGACCCCTTCTCGTAGACCATTCACCTTTGACCTCACCGGCTGTCCTAACTTCCCCTTTGGAAATCTGCCCTACCTGGCAATGGGTGGCACTCCTGGGCCTTGAGAAAGGACACGATGAATGTGCCGATGGTGATACACCCCACACCTTAGCATTTTCTGTGGAGAATAAGACTAGAGAGTGGGTGGCTTTCTCCCCCAGGGCCTCAGGACTCTGAGAAGGGCTCCCAGCTCTGCACTAATTGTGACAGGTAGAAAGCAGGAGAGAGGAGCCAGCGGGGCCTGTTCTTATTCAAGGCCACAGAACTCTGAGAGGAAGCCAGAACAGCTGACACAGTCAGGAACAGCAGCCATTCCTTCTAGAGCAGTGGTTCTCAACCTAATGCTTTGATCCTGTAATACAGTTCCTCATGTCCTGGTGAACCCCAACCTTAAAATTGTTTCGTTGCTACTCCAAAACCGTAATTTTGCTACTGTTATGAGTTTAATGTAGATATCTGGCATGCTTCCCCAGGGGGTTGAGAACCACTGTTTTAAAACCGTCTTCCAGTCAGGGTTGGGGCAAATGTTACAGGTGGGTCTTCCCTGCTGCATGTGTCCTCAGGCGAGGTCACAGATCTGCTTGCTTTTTCCCAGCTGCTTTGTGACCCATTGCCAGGTGTGGCGGGGCTGGGTAGGGCAGCTGGAATCGCTGTGGAGCCCCACGGATGTGGATGTGGGTGTCTGAGTGTACCCGGCCTTCCTGCTCCTCCCTGGACCCCTCTCTCCTCTAGTGGCGACTCACTGCTTCGGTTTGACACACGCCTTTACTCATAGCACCTTCTTGTCACCTTGTCACCACAGGAGCTGTGGGGCTGGTCCTGGGTCACCCATTTGACACTATAAAGGTGAGTGTAGCAGAGGTGCCCGAGGGGCAGATGGTCCGCCTGGAACCTGGCTATGAGACCAGCTAACTGGGCTGGCTCACTCGCGTGCCTGCCGGCGTCCGCTGCGTGGGTGAGCTGGCAGCCACTACGGGAGCAGCCCTGGCATGCCCATTTGCCTCACATGCCAGCACTTTCCATCCAGGTGCGGTTACAGACGCAGAACACATACCAGGGCATTGTGGACTGCATACTCAAGACTTACCGCCATGAGTCGGTAGGTAGCCCACTTCTTTGGGGTAGGAGTTATCTGGGCACGTAGTATCTGTTTCTGCCTGGCAGTTGCTTGGCACCCCAAAAGTGGAGTTGAGGTCCTCACAGTCTCTCCATCTGGTGTGTCTGCCTGGGACAGGGCTTGGACAGAAGTGATGTGCAGATAGCAGAGGCCTGGCAGAGACGGGCGTGGGGTGGGAGCCCACCGTGCCTCACAGGGCGCCACTGTGTTGCTCTGCAGGTCCTGGGCTTCTTCAAGGGAATGAGCTTCCCCATCGCCAGCGTAGCCCTGGTCAACTCTGTCCTGTTTGGAGTGTACAGCAACACCCTGCTGGCCCTCACAGCCACCTCCCACCAGGAGCGGCGGGCCCAGCCACCCAGCTACACAAACATCTTCATAGCAGGTTGTACTGGGGGCCTCCTGCAGGTGAGAGGGTCATGTATGAGCACACGTTCAGGTGACACAGTGATGGACTCAAGCCCTACACCGGGGACCCCTAGTGCATGATAAAGCCTTCCTAAGGGGTACTTGTAATCATTGCTCTAATCGACCGAGCCATGTTGTGCCTTACCAGCCAGACTGTGCCAGCCTGGAGGTGGAAGGTCATGGAGACCAGGGAGACAAAAAGCAAAGGGTTGGGGGGGCAGCATGAAGAAACTGCTAGGTAGAAGCAGCCAGTGTCTTCTCTTGGGCTTGTCTACCTTCAGAAGGGTCTACTAGCCCCAGAGTGGCATGAAAACTATGCAGCATGGTGACCTTTGACCCTGAGGAACTGTCATGCCCAGTAAAGCTGAGTTTTACCCTGAAGTAATCCTAAAGAGGTCCTAGTCCATTCTACCTGCTCAGCCAGGCCTTTGCCTGCAGCACATGGATAACCATAGTCTCTGAGCCTTAGACCACAAGTCACAGCCCTCGGGGTCAGCCATCATCAAGCCACTACCATCATTTGTTTTGGTCTCTGTTCTTAACACTGTAGTAGCCAGGATTCTGTGGGATGTGGTGGAGACTAGAAGAGCTTCCAGGCCCTGGAGGAGACCTGACATAAAGGGAGTATCTAGCAGAAAGGGACAAAGGGACAGGTGCCACTTCAACCCTACACCCCAGATAGGCTCCTGGGTGATCCTCTAATGGGTACCTGCCCTGATGCCACTGATACTTCACGGGGCAGAGAGCAAGAGCAGAGGACAAAGTCAGGGTGTGCTGCCAGTGGTTAATGATTAAAGAGACCCCGAGAGTCCTGGCTTCTCTTCTCCTCTTCCTCTCTTCTCCTCTTCCTCTCTTCTCCTCTTCCTCTCTTCTCCTCTTCCTCTCTTCTCCTCTTCCTCCTCCCCACTTATTTGTTTGTAGGTTTTGTCTTGTTTTTAGACAGGGTTCCTCTGGGTAGCTCTGGCTGTCCTGGAACTCACTCTGTAGACCAGGCTGACTTCCAACTCACAGATCTGCCTACCTCTGCCTCCCAAATGCTGGAATTAAAGATGTGTACCCCCACCCCCGCTTCATTCTTTAATTTTTATTTTTATGTTTTTTTTTGGGGACAGGGTTTCTCTGTATTGTTTTGGAGGCTGTCTTGGAACTCACTCTGTAGACCAGGCTGGCCTTGAACTCACAGAGATCCGCCTGCCTCTGCCTCCCCAGTGCTGGTATTAAAGGCGTGGGCCACCAACGCCTGGCTCATCCTTTTATTTTTTTAAATGGTTTATTTTTTATTTTATGTGTATGTTGCTTTGCCTGCACATATGTATGAGCACCATGTGTGTGATGTGTGTGTGCAGTGCCTGCAGAGGCCTGAAGAAGGTGTTGGATCTCCTGGAACAAAAGTTACTACAGATGGTTTTGAGCCCCAGTCCTTGCAGGAGCAATGAGTTTTCTTAACCACTGAACTATCTCTCCAACCCCCCTCCTGCAATTCACTATGTAGATCTGACTAACCTCAAGTTTGTAACAATCCTCTCCTCTTCCCCAAATACTGGAACTATAGTTATATGCCACCAAACCAAGCTTTATGTTCCTTATTATACTGATATGTGCCTACATATTTCTGAAGCCTGGAGGCCTGTACTCCTCAAAAATAATAAGAGACTTAAGACCCTCAGGAAAGTGGCTTGACTTAGGCCCAGTCAGGCGCTACTTCTCAACAACTTTCTCCTCTTCTCTTGGAAAGGAAGAACCAGAGACTGTTAGGCCATAAACGGTGACTTGGTCCAGGGACCTGTTAGAATCCAGGGTTTTGAGCCAATTGTGTACCATGAGGAGGTGGGAGGATGGGGCAGGAGCTGACAGCTTGTGGCACAAACATTGCTTGTGGCCTGGTCAAAGCTGCCCTGGTTAGTAGCCCTTTAGGTTCCATGGTTCCACCCACTTTAGAATTAAAATTAAAGGTGTGTGCCACCATCACCCGGTGTTTTGATTTTTTAAAAAGATTAATTTTAATTCTAAAATTAAATCTAAATTCTGCTGTGGAAGCTAGAAGGGGTATATGATCTTCTGGAGCTGGAGTTACAGGCAGTTGTGAGCCGCCCCATATGGGTGCTGGGATCCAGACTCAGGTCCTTTGGGCAAGGCGGTATTCACTCACCGAGTCACCTCTCCAGCCCTGGTTGTTTTGTTTTGAATAAATGTTTTGTTTTGGTTTTTCAAGACAGGGTTTCTCTGTATTGTTTTGGAGGCTGTCCTGGAACTCGCTCTGTAGACCAGGCTGGACTCGAACTCACAGAGATCCGCCTGCCTCTGCCTCCCGAGTGCTGGGATTAAAGGCATGCGCCACCAATGCCCGGCTTCCCATCTCAATCTTAATAGTTTTTTTTGTCAGGGCTGGGAGGACTGCCCTGGGGCCTCAGAGAGGTATGATGCTGAAGGAAGGAGACCATAGATGTTGGGTCTGCTTTAGAACAATGCCAATGGCCTTCACTGCAGCATCAGCTCCTCACTGTTTTTGCTGATGGGCTGAACCAGCCACTGCAAACATGTGCTCCTCCCTGGAATCAGGGAGCCCAGAAGCCCACTCCCACTTGTCCTTGAGCTCATGTGCCTGCTATCTCAGGAGGAGGGGCTAGTGTTGAGCCTATCGGACCTGATAATAAGGGAGGCAGTCTGTCCTCATCTGTACCCAGATACTTGGCCAAACCCAGCCATGTAGGTGGGAGGCTGGGAGCTAGTCGCAGGAACCTCTCTGCCCTGTTGTGATGATAAGCAGATCTTCCCAGGAACCTCTCTGCCATGTTGTGATGATAAGTAGATTTTCCCAGGAACCTCTCTGCCCTGTTGTGATGATAAGCAGATCTTCCCAGGCAGAAGCTCCACCCATCCCCTCCATGTCTTTCTCCACAGGCCTACAGCCTGGCTCCTTTTGACCTCATCAAAGTCCGGCTACAAAACCAGACAGAGCCAAGGATGCAGATAGGGAGTTCTGAACCCCGGTACCGGGGGCCTGTGCACTGTGCAGCCTCCATCTTGAGAGAAGAAGGACCCCAGGGACTGTTCAGAGGATCCTGGGCCCTGGTGCTGAGGGACACCCCTACGTTGGGAATGTACTTTGTCACCTATGAAGGGCTCTGTCGAAAGTACACACCAGAAGGCCAAAATCCCAGTAAGTGGGGTGGGGTGGGGTAGGGGTACAGCAGAGGCTAGGGAGGGAACTAAAGGCTGGGGAGATGCTCTGTTCTAGTCTGACTCCACCCTGACTTCCTCTGCCCCAGGCTCTGCCACAGTACTGGTGGCAGGGGGCTTTGCAGGCATAGCCTCCTGGATCACAGCCACACCTTTTGATGTGATCAAGTCCCGGATGCAGATGGACGGACTGAAGGGGAGAAAGTACCAGGGAATGCTAGACTGTATGGCAAGCAGCTTCCAGCAGGAGGGAATAAGGGTCTTCTTCAAGGGCATGACCCTCAATAGTGCCCGTGCCTTTCCTGTCAATGCTGCCACCTTCCTTAGTTATGAATACCTGCTGAGCTTGTGGAGATGAGCCTGGCCCAGTGATGCCAGCAACTCCTCAACAGGGTCATGGCTGACAGCAGCTTGGAAAATCAAGCTAAAGCACCCAGCTGCAGGTACAAAAGTACGAGATGCCATGCATCACCCAGAGAGTTAAGGAGTCAACTTGCAAGAAACCAATAAACCTGGCCCTGTACAGACTCCAAGACCCACCCATCACCAGTCCACCTCTTTCCAGAAAGCAGGGGCATAAGGCACATACAAATAAGCCAGGCCACCATGTCACAATTGCCCCTCTGGAGGAGCTCTCAGGGACCAGTCACTGTCTTGGTGCCACCAAGTCATGGGGCTCAAACCATTCCCCTGGACAGAATGACTTGTCTCCTTCATGTACAGAATCCTTCTGTGGTTCCCATTACCTTCAGGGAAATCCAGGTCCCCAGCTTCCGGCTGTCCTGCCCCATTAAGTGGTCCTCTCTCTTACCCACTTCCTGCTATGGTCCCTCATGTCCCAGGAGTGCCCAGTGGGGTGTAGTTATTGTCCTTCCAGTGGCCTACTCTCCTCCAAGACCCAGGCAGAGCTCTATCGCTAGGGTCCTTCCAGCCCTGACTGTGGGTCCTGAAGAGCCCAGCCCCTGCCTACCTCAATCACAGCTCTGTGTATGGTGCTTTATGGTTAGTTGTTCTGCTCCTGAGTCATTAATCTGTGAGAATCTCTTGGTAAGGATGCACTTGTCTCTTGAACAGATATATGCAATAAAGTTTCATTTGATGAAGTACTGATGGTCCCCTTCAGTCTCTGCTCCCACCACACATATCTGCTGAACCCTTCAGCCCCAAGTCCACACCCTGGCTCCTCTCCAGCTTGTCTCTCCTTGCCCACATCCTTCCTTACATCCATCTCAGTTGCTAAGTTAGATTTTAAAACTGATTAAGATCACTGGCTGTTCTTCCAGAGTATCCAGGTTCAAATCCTATCACCCACAGAGCAGCTCACAACCATCTGTTAACTCCAGCTCTGCAGGATCTGGCTTCTGTGGGCATTGCATGTTTGCAGTACATATCCATACTGGGGGCAAAACACCACACACAAAATAATAATGAAAAAATATATATAACACCTGCCAGCACTCAGGAGGCAGAGGCAGGCGGATCTCTGTGAGTTCGAGGCCAGCCTGGTCTACAGAGTGAGTTCCAGGACAGCCTCCAAAACAATACAGAGAAACCCTGTCTCGAAAAACCAAACCAAACCAAAACAACAACAACAAGAAAATAAAACACCTGGATAAGAGGTGGCATAGGGGGCTGGAGCATCTCAGGGGTTAAGAATACTGCCTGTTCTTCCAGAGGTCCTGAGTTCAATTCCCAGCAACCACATGTTTTGAGATCTGGTGCCCTCTTCTGGCATGCAGACATACATCATATATGCAGGCAGAACACTGTATATGTAATAAATAAAAAATCCTTAAAAAAAGATTTAGTTATTTAAAAAAAAAAAAGAGGTGGCATAGGCCTCTAATCCCAGCACTCAGGAAGCATGGGCAGGCAGATCTCTGAGCTCAAGATCAGCCTGATCTACAAAGCAAGTTCCAGAACAGCCAGAGCTATAGAGAGTAACCCTGCCTCAAAAACCATAAACAAAATAAAATAGTCACTTTACTCTTTCATGACTTCCCATTACTTGTTGTTTCTTCCCCAAGTAGGGAAAGTCCTTAGACAAAAAACACAAAAACAAAAAGTTTTAGCAAAATGAGTGAATGAGTTAATTAAAGAAAACTGGTCTTCCTAATTTCCTCTCTGGAGGGCCAGTACTCTAATAGTGCTGCCTTCTGTAAGCAACTAGATTCCAGATGATTATTACAAACAGAGCTGAAAGCCTTGCTAACTGATCCAAGAATGAAGGAGCTTTTCCCAGAAATAGAGGATGTGAGGCCAGGGTGCCTCCTAGGGTGAGTGCTGACTCCATGACAGGAACACACAGAACTGTGGGAAGAGAACCTGGGAACAGCATACAGCACCTTGAGGTGTCAGGCATGGGGAAGCTGCATCCAAGACTCAGAAACGGAGCCAAGATCCTCAGGGGGCTCTACCAGTAAAGGGGCGGACTGAAAATCTCCAGCCACCAGGAAAAGGAACAGGCTCCCCCAGAGAACTGGGAACTACATTGTTCCCTGGAGCCCGCCTCTGAGAAACTAACATTGCGTCTTCTTTGTGCCCCCTCGTGTCCAGAATAAGCAATTACGCCTTTTTCTAGAGGTGAGCTGCCACACACCATAGTGTATAAGTCCGAAAGGTGAAAATTTCCTCAAACATAATAAACATGATGAAGATGAGAAGAGTACCTAAATATATAGTCATCTATCTCCTTTTTTCCTTTGAGACAGAGTGCCACACCCAGCTTTGAGTAGACATTTTTCCCAAAAAAGACACAGCCAGCAAAAGCTGGGCAAGGAGCTGGGCCAGGTGGTGTGCACTTTTAATCCCAGCACTCAGGAGGCAGAGTCAGGAGGATCTGTGTGAGTTCCAGGCCAGCCTGGTCTACAGAGTGAGTCCTAGGCCAACCAGAGCCACACGGTGAGACCCTGCTCAAAAACAACAAAAACTAAAACTGATCGGCCAAGCAAACAAAAGAGCTGGGCAAAGTGTACACAACTTGGGCTGGAGAGATGGCTCAGCAGGTAAAAGCACTGACTGCTCTTCCAGAGGACACAGGTTCAATTCTCAGCACCCCCACAGCAGCTTACAGCCGTCTGTAACTCCAGGGGACCTGACATCCATGGAAAACCACCAATGCATATAAAATAAAAACAAATAGAATTTAAAAAGTGGTACACACCTGCACTCTACCATTCTGGACACTGTAGCAGAATTGAAAACTCAAGGCTAACCTGGTTCAAACACAAGGACGCAGGATTTTGAAAGGTTTCAACAATATTAATTATAAGAGAAATGAAAACTATAGTGAGATGTAGTGGGAATCTAGTAATCATTGTAACTAGGGTAAACGTTAGAATGTAATAGTTATTTACCACTGTATCTAGGATAACAGTAGGATGTTTGTTGATGGTACCTAGACTTTGAAGAAATCTTAGTAGAGACAGTGATTGTTTGTTATGATTTATAGAGTTATTTTTCTGAGGAAGTTTCCCTTCCATTATATGACTCTGGTCACAAGACTATACAGGCACACTTAGAGGTCTTGAATTATTGGGTACTGTTTGCAGCACACAATGTAAAAATAAATAAATCTTGGCCGGGCATTGGTGGCGCATTCCTTTAATCCCAGCACTTGGGAGGCAGAGGCAGGCGGATCTCTGTGAGTTCGAGGCCAGCCTGGTCTACAGAGCAAGTTCCAGGACAGCCTCCAAAACAATACAGAGAAACCCTGTTTCGAAAAACAAAAAAACAAAACAAAACAAAACAAACAAAAAACAAAAAGTAAATCTTAAAAATTTAGCAAAACCTCCTAATTTGGGGGGGTCTCAAGACAGGGTTTCTCTGTGTAACAGTCCTGGCTGGCTGTCCTGGAACTCAATTTATAGACCAGGTTGGCCTTGAATTCACAAGGATCCACCTGCCTCTGCCTCCAGAGTGCTGGGATTAAAGGTACTATGCCAGGCAACCTCCCAAAACTTAAAAAAAAAAAAAAAAGAAAAGAAAGACAAAAGCCAAAGGGCTTAGTGGTCCTGGTTCTATTCCTAACACTGAATGAGTGAATGAATTGATCTACACCCTGTTCTCTTATATGTCACGCTGGTGTATGCTGTCCCCAGACTGCCCTCTTTACTCACAGGGAGAACACCTCCAGTTCCTAGTGCCCCAGTGATTGATAAACTAGACACAAAATAGATAAGAACCACAGGTGTCTGCCAATATAAACAAGTTTCCAGTGGAAAGAATGACCTGGTCAGAGTGCTAGACCTCAAATGGCCCTCAGTAAAGTGACCCGTAGAGTGTCACACTGTAAACACCCGTACACAGCCACTGTTAAGACAGGGTTACTAGCTTTTCGATTTTCTGGGGGCTCTCGGAACATCTTGACTCCATACATTCCGTACTCAGGGGTACTCTTCGCCCCTGCATCCTTCTCATTTCTCTCTCTCTCTCTCTCTCTCTCTCTCTCTCTCTCTCTCTCTCTTTTTTTTGTTTTTGTTTTTTTTTTTTTGTTTTTCGAGACAGGTTTCTCTGTGGCTTTGGAGGCTGTCCTGGAACTCCCTTGGTAGACCAGGCTGGTCTCGAACTCACAGAGATCCTCCTGCTTCTGCCTCCCGAGTGCTGGGATTAAAGGCGTGCGCCACCAACGCCCGGCTCTCATTTTTCTCTCTACTCAGGGTTTTACATATCGAAACTCACCACTGGGTGGGTGGGACGGCTCTATGGATAAACACACTGCCACAAAAGCCTGGAGACTTGAGTCTGATTCCCAGAACCCACAGAAAGGTGAAAGAAGAACTCCGCAAAGTTGTCCTCTGGCCTCTATGCACTATGGTAGCGTGTGCGTGTGTGCATGAGCACTCCCCCCAGCATACATACTTTAAATTTTTTTTTTTTTTTTTTAGTTTTTCGAGACAGGGTTTCTCTGTGGCTTTGGAGGCTGTCCTGGAACTCACTCTGTAGACCAGGATGGCCTCAAACTAACAGAGATCCGCCTGCCTCTGCCTCCAGAGTGCTGGGATTAAAGGTGTGCGCCACCAACGCCCGGCTCATACTTTAAAATTTTAAAAACAAACAAGGTTGGGCACAATGGCACGTCTTTAACTCTGAAGGCAGAGGCAGGTGGGATCTCTAGGAGTTTAAAACCAGCCTGATCTACAGAGTGAGACCTTGTCTCAAAAACAACACCCACACACGAACACCAAAAACAGCTCACCTCTGCTGGTTTCACCCAGCTTTGGGGCCAAAGTACTCTGCACAAGTCTGTCCTGCCTAACAAAGGTGTCATCTTTGCAATCTTGTTACATAGAAGGCCTTGATGCTTGATGTAAGGAACTGTGGTAAATGAACAAGTGGATGCAATTTGTAAGGAATGAATCCAGATCTTATTTCCCTGGCCTGCCTCTGGCCACTGTACCACACATGGTCTGATACTGAAATGATAAGAGTTGCCAAATGTTTGGGTCAACTTTCCAGGAAGGTCCACGAGTGAAGTCTTCAGACTTCACCCTTTTCTCATGTAAACCATGCCTGAGAAACTGAGGGATGACTCAGTTGGTACAGTACTAGTTCGGGATGCACCAAACCCTGGGTTGGGTTCAATCCCCAGCACCACATAAATCAGGGTATGGCAGCAAACCCCTATAACCCTGGAACTTGGGAGTGGGAGGCAAGCAGATTAATATATTCAGAATCATCTTCATGGCCAGCCCAGACTACAGGAGACCCCATTTCAAAAGAAAAAAGGAATACCACATACTGACCTCCTTTCTGGTTAAAAATTTTATTTCCAGAAGCAGACTTGGTTTTGACACAAAATTTAAGGGATTGGGGCCATCTGTTAGAAGTCCACCTTTCACTGGGCAGGGATACACACCTTTTATCCCAGCTCTTGGGAAGCAGAGACAGGCGGATCTCTGAGTTCAAGACCAGCCTGGTCTACAAGAGCTAGTTCCAGGGCAGGCTCCAAAGCTACACAGAGAAAGCCTGTCTCAAACAAACAAACAAAAAGTCCACCTTTCTAGGTTCCAGCCTCTCTAGACTAACTGCCCCCAGAGCTTGCCTAGAAGCTACACAGCCCAGATTCCCACTCTAGAGGCCCCATCTGTAGAGACAGACTGGGCTTGATCAACTTTTACTCTGGCCTTAGACTTTTTGTCCCAACTCCCTTCTCTTCTGCCCCTTCCGCACGCTGTTTCCACAGGAAAGAGTCAGTCTGCCTCTGGAGAGGTGTTTCCATGGGAAACAGGAGAGGGCGATTCTGCAGGCTGCCGCATTTCTTCACAGACAGCAGAGCTGTTCCACCTCCACCTCACAATCGTAGAATTTCTCAAAGGGCTCTGGAGAGGTACTGTTACATTCAAGCCACCTCCTCAAGGTGCACAGTGCCCTCAGGGCATCGGCTTTGGTGGGCAGGGACTCAAAGCCATCTTCTTCCCTCCCAGTGTCTTCAGTACCAGTCTCCTCTTTGCATACTCTAGGCCCTGGGGCCTCATCCTCCAGGTCCACAAAGTGGGAGAACTCCTCCTGACTCAGCCCACTTGGGACTGGTGACATCTCCGTGTCTTTGTCCAGAGACAGTGGTGTTTTGCCTGGAGCGAGACCTTCGTGAATGAAGCTGCTCAGAATGAGCTGAGGAGGCACCTTGGCCCAAGCTGCTGCCACCATATGCAGAGCATCTAACACTGTGATGCTGGCCCTGGCTTCAGCCAGCGAGGTGCCGTCTCTCCCACTCTGCATGGCAGCCAGTTTGCTCAGCAGACGGTGACGGTAATGGGCCTTAAAGGCCAAAACCACAGAGCCAGGCAGGGAGGGTGTGGTACTGGAGGCAGAGAGAGGCAGGAGTCGTACATGGTGGAGTCCAGGAAGGCTGGCCCACTCCTCGGCCACTCTAGCAGCCAGTAGCAAGGCAACCCGTCGGCCCTGCTGTCCCATGTCCTGGTCAAACTGTGCCAGCCACTGTGACCAGGGGATGGCAAGATCAGGGTGATAAGAGGCAGGCAGTGCCTCACTGTTGACCCCAAAGAAGCATCTTGGGGCAGCCTGGAGCCCGCCCACAAATACCTTTCGCTTTTCTGTGCCCCTGCTGTTGGCACACAGCAGCACCTGTAACCGGTCACACGCCAACACTCTGCCAGGCCCTGCCCGGTACAACAAGGGCACTTCAGCACAGCCAAACACATCTTCTGGTGAGAAGTCTTTAAGAGAAAGAGGTGGCTGGGCCTGGGATGGAAGCCCAGGGGGCGGTGGCTCGGGAGGGAACAGAGGGACGAGGACCTGGCGAGCCCCAAAGCCCACATTGTTTCGGCGTTTCCAGCGGACTAGCCAGCCAATGCTGGGCACAAAATCCTGACCCATGATATCAGCCAGCTCCTTGGCCTTGTGGAGCAGCATGGGCCCCGTGACATCCCAGGCCTTGGCCCGGGCAATGTGGTACCAGCAGAGTAGGGCCTCGTCGATCCCGCTGTATTTGGATTCCCGCTTCCGCTTGCGCCCATGGTTGGCTGTGCCACTACACCAGTCTGCCAGCAGCTTCTCCTTGTTCTTGCAGATGCGTGAGATCTGGGGCTGCGAGACCTGGAAGCGCCGGGCCACCTCTGACTGGGACATCTTGGACTCATCCAGGAGTTCCAGCACTTGGATCTTCTCAGCCAGGGACAGGGCGTGAAGCTTCTTTTTTGAGCTCAGCTCCATGACTCTGCCGGGCACCTGCTGGGCAGGAAAAGTAGGAGAGGGTGCATAGGCTGAGGGCAGGAGGGATAGGAGAGTACAGGCCGTAAGAGGACGGGTGATCTGCTGGAATGCAGAAGGCTAGGCGAGGCCAGACCAGTTGGAAGAGAAGGGATGACCAGGCTGAGGGAGAAGGCCAGGCCCCATCCTAAAGACTGCCAGAACAGAGCCGGCAGTGTCTCTGGTCAAAGGCAGAGGGAATTCTGGGCTAGGGTTTGTCATTGTTGGGGTAGAAAAAATGACTAGAGGTCAGGGGACTGCTGTAAGGACAACCAGGGAGCAGCTGCAGGGACAACAAAGGAGCTATGACAGAGGCCTGGGGCTAAAGCTGAGTGAGGCAGGTGTAGAGGCCTCAGAGTGGCCCGGGAGGTAGCCCTGCGAGGAGAGGGGAGGAAGGCCGGGGTTGAATTTTGATGAGGCAGGTGGTGGACTGAATGGACAGAGTTGATGTGAACAGGTTAGATGACACAGATGACAAAGCCAGATGGATGGGTCTGAAGGCGCCAGTCTAATTTGGTGCTGGTGAGGCGGAATGGTAAGGCTAGTCAAGAGTCTAGCCTGAAGGGAAGTGGAGGGCACGGTGGAGAGTGAAGGTGCCAAGGTGCCAAGGCGACAAAGGGCGACACAGGGAGGGTGAGGAGGCTACGGGCAGCAAAAAGGGGGAGGGATGTCTCCCGCCGGGTGGTAGGTAGTCTGGAGGGATATCAGGGAGCAGCGGTCGGGAGCAGGAAGCCCCAGAGCTGGCCTCTGCGTCCAGGCTCGCTCCGCCTTGACCCAGGGTCAGTCGGATAGACGGACCCAGGCGTCGATCCAGTCCGCCCGCCCGCCCGCCAACCCGGACTCCCGCTCCGCACCCACCTCCAGGCGCTGTCCCGCGGCTCCCGCCCCTGCCCCAGCCCGACTCCCGGGCCCGGGTGTGCTAGGTTACAGCAGAACCAGAGAGGGACGGGCGCCGCGACCCCGAGGGCAGAGCGCTGCCGGGAGGTGCACGGGCGGCGGGCGCGCGCACGACAGGGACCTGCCCGCGCCGCCCGTGCCGAGCTCTCCCAAGGCTGGGAAAACCGCGGCCGGGCCCTCAGCAGCCCCGCCTTGGCAAGTTTGATTGGCCACCAGTTTCACTTGTCCCACCTCCGACTGCATGTCATTGGGCGCTGAGGAAGTGGCGGTCCGTCGGCCTTCTGGAGGAGGAGCTTCCCGCGCTGAGGGGCAGGAACCCGAGCCTCGAGCTAGGGTCTGGCGGGAGGACCCGGCCTCAGAGCCTGATTATCTCTCGGGCGACCGGCATGCCAAGACGGTGACCCAGGTGGCTTCGACCCCATCCCCACGGGGTGCCAAGCAGGGATATCCGCCCTCCCGAAGTTGTTTTAGAGACAAGATGAAACGAGAAAACGAACGGATGTAAGCTTTAAACCATAAAACTCAGTTACCATGGACAGCGCTGGCCTTCAGCTCACCAGCCCGCTACAAAACACAGGTCACCAGGCCTGAGGGGGCAAGAAAGGACCTATTTCTGCCAGTTTGGGTGCCTCATGGCAGGATCTAAGTTCCTATACTAGTCATTTCCCTCAACATTTGGTCCTGAACTAGGTGTAGATATCTTAGCCTTCCCTGATCCTTAAACAGCCGGGACCTCACTTCTCTGTATTTTCAATTTCTCCAGGACCTCACTTCTCTGTATTTTTAATTTCTCCAAGTCTCTTGTGAAGCCAACATTTCCTAAGTCTATTTCAGTGGTCTCATTTGCACATTTCTTTTCTGGCCCTCAAGACTACTCTAGTTACCAAGGATAGCTGCCTGGCTCCCTCTACTTCTGCCCTACTTAGCAGGACAGGCAGAGCACATCTCCTCGGAGCCCAGAGCACACAGCCAATTTACCAAATGCAGAGCTCAGCTTTTCAATAGGCAAGGAAGGTGAGGCAGGATCACAAATTTGAGGACATCCTAGGCTACATGAGAAAAAAACCAAAGCCTCCCCCCACCACACACACATGCCATGGGACTGGTGTGGAAATAAGGGGACACCTTTGGGAGCAACTGTTCTTCCTTCCTTGCTGAGGTAGGGTTTTGCAGTGTGGCATACTCCAATCCAGTTGGACGTTAGCAGATTCGGTCTCCACCTCCTATGTCTAAGAGCACTGGCATAATGGATTCATTGGGATACTGGGACAGAATTCAGGTGGTCAGGGTTACATGGCAAATGCTTTAACTGCCTGAGCCATCTCCCAGGTATACCAGCAGTTTGAGTGTGCACTACTCTTACAGGAGACCTGAGTTGAAGTGCTGAAGGGATAGCTCAGCTGTTAAGAGCACTGGCTGCTCTTCCAAAGGACTTGGATTTCATTCCCAGCACACATATGGTGGCAAAACACTCAAAACATAACCAAAAAAAAAAAACCCACAAAGACCAGCGTTCAGTTTCCAGCACTTCAGTGGCTCAAAACTACTTGTAATTCTAGCTCCCAGGGATGAGATGCCCTCCTTGTCGTGACCTCTGCACTGATGTATATATACACGTACATTTTTCTTAAAATAGGGTCACCCTGTGTAGCCTGGCTGTCCTCAAACTCTCTGTAGCCCAGTCTGGCCTTGAGCTCAGTCAGAGATCCACCTGCCTCTGCCTCTGGAGTTCTGGGACTAAAAGCCTGTGTCACTACTGTCAGCTCACATAATTCTTAAGAAGTCAATATATAGTCAATCGAGCTATACAAGATCCATTATGTAATATTAAAGTACTAGTGTGACTGGAGGAACTTGCTGTCAGTATAAAATAGCCTGGGAATGCTGGAAGGCTACATTATGGACAGTTCTGGCTCTGGAACCCTGCTCTTGCTTAGCAGTACTGCAGGCAATGAAAAGGCACATCAGATCACAAGACTTGAGGTTACTCTCCTCCTGGCTGCTCTATCATCTATCTAAGAGCTTTCCTTGTCCCATGATGACATCACTGGTTTGCACATGTATGGAGCTGAGAGAGTGGGCATTATGCACATTGAATGACCAGCCCAGCCAGAGGAAATCAGATCCCCCTGGAACTGGATTTACAGGTGGTTGTTAAGTCACCCGATATGAGTGCTGGGGAACTGAACTTGGTCCTCTGCAAAAGTAATAAGCACTCTTGCTTGCTGAGCTATCTCTTCAGGCCCTGCTTTAATTCCTTTGAACTTATACCAAGAGCAAGCTTCCATGCCCACTTTAAACACCTGACATCAATCACAATGTCATAAACTTGCCACACCTCCATCTACATAGCTGTCTTCCCAACCAGCCAAGACACAGAAATAAATAGGGTGCTAAAGCTGATTTTAACTCACTTTTTGTACTAATCAAAACAGCTTCATTCTTTTCTTTATAATAATAATGATTGTAAACTTGAATTTATACCAAAACTAACAAAAATTTTTATATGGTGGGGCTCAACAAAAATTTTGATTTTGGGAGAAAAAGTTGTTTCAATTTTTCAAAAAACCACTCTTATTAAGAAAGTAAGTTTGAAATGAAATGGCTTTTCAGGTCAGATGGTGGTGGTACACACCTTTAGTCTCAGCACACGGGAGGCAGACAGGCTAGTCTGGTCTACAGAGGGAGTACAAGGATAGGTTCCAAAAGCTACCCAGAGAAACTCTGTCTCGAGAAACAAAAAAACCAACCAACCAACCAAACAAACAAACACACAAAACAAAAGAAAAAGACTTTCAACAAGCAGTTAGGAGACAAACCATCTATCAGAGGGCTCTGTGTAAAAATGTTTATTTTTACTAATGTTTTGAATACAGGAACTAAGGATAGGAGGAGGGGGCCTCAACTTCACAGAAAACAAGTCAGGGCCTGCCCACAGCTAAGGAGGAAGGCCATTCCAGAGTGTTCTGGCATGGACTGTCCCCTCCTACTTAATGTCAGTACCACTAAGCAGGAAACAGAAAAGTCAGAGTGAAGACTTTACCCAGCTGCTAGCTAGCGTGCAAGGAAAGGGGACCTCCCGTGACCGCGTCAGAACACACAGGCAGGAGGCAGAGACTCCTGATTCAGTTAAGGGCAGGAGGCTGAATGCCCAGGTCCAGGAAGAACGAAAAGGGGACTTTGGAGGTAGGCTTTTTTATCGAGTTAAAAAACAGGCACATTATCCAACTTCTCCTTGTGGCCCCCAAGCTGCTGGCACAGCTCCCTGACATTGTCCCTCTCCACCACAAAAATGAAAGGGAATAAGGAAGGAGGCAGAAGACTCAAAGTTCTGAGGATGGGAAATGCTTAGATTGCCAGGGACCACCTGTGAGCGAGCCAGCCAAGCACAGGAAGGACAGGTGAAGCTGCTTGTCTACAGGACAGAGCCAGGAGGAGCCTGAGAACAGGAATCCCAGTTCAAGCACAGACCCCAAGTAGCATGACAGAAGACACAGGACTGCTTTGGCAGAGGCAAAGTGAAGCAGAACAAGGGTATGAAAAGGTCCTAGCAAGTGCCACCTCAGCCTGATCACTCCAGCTGCTCTCAGCAAAGGCCAGGCCTGGCTCACCCCTGGGGTAAAACTCTGGAAACCAGAGGGGGAGGAGGGGCTAGGCCAGGCTTCAGACAAGTGAGCTGCTCTCATATTCCTTCTTGGAGGAACCCATTTGAACCCTGTGATTACCAGGGACTTGGGCCCAAGGCAAGCAGAGTGAATGCACTTCTTGGAGAGCAGAGAGAAGTTAGGCCCACAGGTCAGTCCTGGGGCAGCATGCTGCTCCTTACTCCCTGAGGGCTTGGGACCAGAGGCAGTCAGAGTTGCCACCTCCCTGTGCAGTTGCCAAAGGCAGGTTGGCAGAACTACCAGAGTGAAAGAAGAAGAGGGGTATGAAAACCAAGGTAGAGGACAGCAACAGCTTAGAGGTGTGGGAAGCTGGGTGGCACATCAGGAGGAGTTCTGGTTCTGGTAGATGGATGCCTTCTCCTTCAGCAGATCCAGACACAGGTGGCAGCTCCAACTTCCTACAGAGAAGCAGAGTGTTAGGGTGGATCCCATCTGCTGTCTTCTGACTCTTCACACCTCTCCCCAGGAAGGACAGGGCAAATTCTGTAGCAGCAACTTCGTGGCTATCCTGAGCTGAAGGAAACGGCTTGGTCTTTTTTTTTTTTTTTTTTTTTTTTTGTTTGTTTTTTCGAGACAGGGTTTCTCTGTGGCTTTGGAGGCTGTCCTGGAACTTGCTTGGTAGTCCAGGCTGGTCTCGAACTCACAGAGATCCGCCTGCCTCTGCCTCCCGAGTGCTGGGATTAAAGGTGTGCGCCACCAACGCCCGGCCCGCTTGGTCTTTAAAGCTATGAAAATTGGAACTGGAGAGATGGCTCAGCAGTTATGAGGATCTGGGTTCAGTTCCCAGCACCCACATGGAGGCTTACAACTATGTATAACTCTAGTTATAGGGATCTGATGACCCCTTTGCTGACCTCCAAGGGCACCAGGAGGCATTCACGTAGTACAATGACATACATGCAGACAAAATACTCATACACATACACTAAAAATACATATATCTTGGGGGCTGGAGAGATGGCTCAGCAGTTAAGGGCACTGACTGCTCTTCTAGAGGCTAAGGCAGGGGAGTGCAAGTTCAAGGGCTACCTGGGCTACAGAGCTAGCTCAAGGCTAGCTTAGGCAATTTAGTGAGGCCCTATCTTAAAAAATACAACTGTGGAAAGCCGGGTGTTGGTGGCGCATGCCTTTAATCCCAGCACTCGGGAGGCAGAGGCAGGCGAATCTCTGTGAGTTCGAGACCAGCCTGGACTACCAAGCGAGTTCCAGGACAGCCTCCAAAGCCACAGAGAAACACTGTCTTGAAAAACCAAAAGAAAAAAGAAAAAAAAATACAACTGTGGGGACAGAGAGATGGCTCAGAGCCTGAGGACTTGAGTTTGGTCCCCAGAATGCACAGAGAAAGCAGACCTGACTTCTAAGTGTTGTCTTCTGACCTCTACACTAGTGCTGTGGCTCAGCTGCAACAGCACTCTTTTTTTTTGGTTTTTCGAGACTGGGTTTCTCTGTATTGTTTTGGAG